GGTCTATGTTACCGCACCACAATGGAACACACCAGGGCGTGGCGAGGTGGTCTGTGTAATCTTGAGTTTGTGGGTGTGCATAGGACAGTGCGTTTACTACGATTGTTTCATAATACCGTTCCCGCGCCCTGGGAGATCCTAAAAGGCTACCGCGTGCTGATTGTATAACACGATATGCTCTCGCTGTGATCCATAAGATGGATACTGCACTCGTAATCTGGTGACCTTGGGAACGAGCATGAGAACGTTCGCGTTGTTTGGACCAACCGGCAATACAGGCTCGGTTAACGACTGGTGAGAGAAATTCGACGTGGGATGGGACGACCGTGTCGCAGTATCGTACGGCACCACAGAGATTCCTGCGCATTTGCAGTCTCGCCTAGCTAACCAAATGGCAGGCTAGGTGTTATCTAGGGAGCGAACAGTTCACGGCGTTGATGATGGGTTGTATGCAGCGAACAGGTCACAGCTTCGGTGACTAGTTCTGGGGCAGCGAACAGGTCACAGCTTCGGTGATGGTTTCTAGGGAGCGAACAGGTCACAGCTTCGGTGATGGTTTCTAGGGAGCGAGCTGGTCACAGCTTCGGTGATGGTTTCTAGGGAGCGAACAGGTCACAGCTTCGGTGATGGTTTCTAGGGAGCGAGCAGGTCATAGCTTCGGTGATGGGTTCTAGGGAGCGAACAGGTCATAGCTTCGCCGACTGCTTCTAGGGAGCGAACAGGTCACAGTTTCGGTGATGGCTTCTAGGGAGCGAGCAGGTCACAGCTTCGGTGATGGGTTCATAGCGCACACAGCAAGCTCTGCTTAGCACGCGCTCTGAGACCAAGGCTATCCTCGCAAACCGTTTGGAACACATTTTAACTCAAAACACCTCGATGACTTGTGCCCACCGGCACAGGCTCTTGGAGCGGAGATGTCGAACGAGCGGACCTGCTTTCCGCCGGCTCATCAACCCGGCGGAAAGATTGCTTGTGTACAAGCAAGCGAGGTCAGTGGTATAAGCCGCAAGCTTTCTTAGCTGCGCAAACGACATGGAGGAAATACGTCCGCAAACAACGTTTCGGAGACGTTTTCGTCGTGATCTGTTTGTGTGTCCAGTGGCCATTTGCTCTGCGGGGTAGATGCGTCTATATGAGCAGCTGATTTGGCACCAAGCTCACAACTCTTCCTTTTGTTTTTGAAAAGGGTGATTATCCGTTTAACTACCCTTTTATGCGTTGGAGTGCGTAGTGTATATGCGGGGTAGACGTGTCTCCTGACCAGTGTGTGTGATGGAAGTGGCAGATTGTTTTGTTCTGAGTTAACAGCGATCTAGTACACCAGCACCATGACCGTGTGTGGGCATGGTTTGAGAGTGGCATTCTTGTCCTGTTGTAGGATTGCAGGGCGAGACAGCCCACAAACAGGGGTGTGACAGGAAGCAGAAGCGCTCCCTGGAGTGCTAACCGCAGCACTGCCCCGCGAGACCGCCGCTTGCGTAATACGCTGACTTTGTGTTGTGAACACGGTACTTGTGGTGTTCATGTGTATGCGGCCGGATAGCTTCCTTTCCCGTTGCTTTCGTGCGCAGGGCCGCGGCTTGAGAAGCACTTTATGTTCACACCCGACGGCTGCGGGCGGCACGCGCACAAAAATGGCCCGGTTGGTTCCGTCAGCTAGACGAAAAGACGCTGGACCAGACGCTGTCCATGCTTTCTACCGAGTTGAAAGGCCGGTGGACGGCCGCTCACCCGGGTTGTATGCATAAGGTCCCCGGCGGCTGTGTGTGCCCACAGTTCCCTTTGCGAGTACCGGGGCAACACGCCGTCAGCCCATGGTCGTCAGTATTGACCACAGCAGGCCACACTCGCCACCCGAGCCACGTTCACGTGGCCAGACATGGCTGGCCGCCGCCGCCTTACATGCGGGGAACACGTGTGTATCCGGGAACAGGCGGATCATCGATCCGCACCACGTGGCACCACGTCGCCGGACGCGACCGTGCGCACGTCGCGCGCAGGCCCGTCACCGTCCCGCCGCCGTCCGCGGCTCGAGGCTGGGGTGGGCGCCATCGGACTGAAGTCAAGCGACGCGCCGCCGGCCGGCTGCGGCGCTGCACGCGGCGGGTGCAGGTGGCCGTCCCGAGCCCCGCCGCCCGCCGCTGACGGCGTCGACGCAATCAATACAATGCGGCCCGTCGGCGGGCGCGCCGCGGCCGCCGTATCGACGCGACGTGCATGCGCGCCCGGCCGCCGCCCGCCCCCGCCCGGTCCGCGGGCTGCTGGGCGGGGAGGGGGCTGGCAGCTGACCACTGACCAACGCCGGATGCTGAGCTGCTATCTCTGGCCGCGGTCGCGTGGTCACCGCCTGACGTCGTTTTAGCTCGCTCCTCGGATATTTTCGTCGTCGGAGGGTCGTCACGGCATTCCATTTGTCCGGCTGGTGGCAACGTCGTGTTGTGATGCAACATGAGGCACTGGCCCACTGCGACGTCACACCGCAGTGTGCTGTGCATGTGGCCGACTGCTGCGCCTCTGCCTAAGGCTCAGGAGGGACGATACACCGGACGGCTGGCATTGGATACGTTCGTTGGCATTCTTTCGACCCAAGTCGAATCCTGGTCGGCACTCGGCTTTAAGTCTGTTGCACAACCAACACGCTAGCGGTTTTTCAGAGCTGAGCTCACCTTTGGTCAGCAAATGCAAGAGCAGACCACACCAGATCAGGGCAGACCCGACTCGGGACTAGTGCGAACTCGGACATGGTCCTGAAACACTGGGGACCAGTATCGCTGGTACACTTGGTCCGGTTTGATCACTTCCTGCTGCACGCTATCATCGATCAATTAGTCCCGTTTCGATCAGTTCCTGCTGTACGCCGTCATCGATCAATTGGTCCTGTTTCGATCTGTTACTGCTGTACGCTGTATCGATCAATTGGTCCTGTTTCGATCTGTTACTGCTGTACGCTGTCATCGATCAATTGGTCCTGTTTCGGTATGTTCTTGTTGCATGCTATCATTGATCAATTGGTCCTGTTTCGATCTGCTCCTGCTGCACGCTATCATCGATCAATTGGTCCTGTTTCGATATGTTTCTGCTGTACGCTGTCATCGATCCATTGGTCTTGTTTGATCTGTTCCTGCTGTACGCTGTCATCGATCAGTCGGCCCCGTTTCGATCTGCTATTGCTGTGCGCTGTTGTTGATCGATCAGTCGATCCTGTTCCGACCTGTCCCTGCTGATTGCTGTCAGCGGTCAGTTGAGGCGGACTGGGCCGTGGCGCCTGCCGACTCTGGCGAGTGTCGGGCCACTTACCCTCAGGTCGGGTCACCGCGTCACCTGTGCTTTATAACGTGAGCGGAGCCTTATAAAATCCGTAAGCTTTGCGGACTGAGGGTCAACTCTCCTCTGATCGGGTTTGCTTTTGCTTCACTGTGTTTTGGCGCATTTTTTGTGATTTTTGGTAAGTATGGAGCGGGCCGAGACAGACATTAGGGGCCAAGCTGCCGAAGAGATTCAAGATTTAGGTCTATAGGACTGCTCCTGGGAGATCCGAAACTTCAGTCGTCTAGTCCAGGTGTGGGGCGTTGTTCCGCTGCTTCTGCTGAGCTAGCCCGGCAGTGCGGAGGAGAGGGGAGACTTATGCACTGCCAGGTCTGGCGGTGTCCTGCCGGTGAACATGACCGTTCTGCGGTGTGGACGAGGGGGAGGCTCGTGCACTGCCAGGTTTGGCGGCGTCCTGCCGGTGTAGAGGGCCGCCCGGCGGTGTGACGGCGTCGCCGCCCCCCCCCCCCCCCCCCCCCCCAGCCGGTGTTCGTGCCGCCTGGTGTCGTGGCGCTCCTGTCGACTCATTCATCAGTAATGGGCTCGTGGAACGGCGCCGAAACGCCCTGAGACTGACAGGCTTTTCAATATGCAGTCTCTTAATCCTTTTGGCTGTGGAGGTAAATTCACGCAGAATGATTTTATATTGCTTCCCAGCGTCTTGAGTTTTCGTGGCATTTGAGGTCCCTAGGCCGAGCACCTCGGGTCAAAGGGTGTTACAAGATCAAACCAGGTATTGGTGTCCCTACTGCCCTCAGACCCCTTCACGGAACTAGCTTTAACCTTGATGACTTCTGTAAGGAAAAGGTCACTCTTGCTCATGTCAGGTCAGTGACGTTTTTCACGTTTTAAAGATCAGGGCTACCCAAACCCTTCGATGCTACTTAAATGCTTTAATTTACAATTAGCTTCAAGAATTACCTAAGGTGGTATGCTCCTTGAAGTATATTTTGATTGGAGTGTGATGTCCCCTGATCTTCATGAAGTTAAAACACGGAATCTGTTGACGTTTTTGTGCTGAAACATCGCAATGTCTGAGAAACCACCTGAAAGTTGTGGGACGTCGTCAAGCACCCAGTTGTCGCATCAGCTTGGAATATTCCCCACAGGCAGTGTCATTGCTGACGGTCATGTCCTGCCCCGTTAGGGCCATGACTTTGGCCTGCTACAGGTCAGTGAACTTGTGGGGTGTAGCAAATTTTATAAGTTGCAAGGTCGGATATTCAATTTCTTACGACAATAAGAAGTTTGAGCGGCCATGGCGAGCCGTTCGAAAGGTGTTAAGGAAAACTTTAAGTGTGGGGAATAGCATTGCCCCCACCCCCACCCCACCTGAGCGTGTGCTAAGTTGTATCCTAGACAGCGCCTCCCCTCCCCCTTCCCCCGCGTGCTTTTGCCTATGCCGGGGTGCCACGAATCATTCATGTACTGACTGACGCAGGAATATCACTGGCAGCCGCCTTTCCAATGCGGCTGTGCCAGCTTAATTGACGACAGCGGCCTGCCCCGCTATGGGTTGCCCTGTCGGCGGCAGGGCTATCAGCAACCTCCCATGTCCGTTGCAGGTGCGCCAGCGAACAGCGGCAGCCGTCTCACGGTTAGACATGTGCCGCTGACTTCCGGCGTTTAACTGCAGGTGTACCTCTGACACCCGGCGTGCTGCTGTGCCACTGACCTCTCGTGGCCCCCGACAGGTGTACCGGGTACCAGAGACGGCCTCCATCCTGCTCAGCGGTGGCATCAAGTTCGCCGACTTGACCTCGGGGCAGGGTGAGCGCGTGTCTTCCGCCTGTTCCGCTGGGATGCGGGGCGCAAGCACCGCCGCCGGGCTGCCCCTGTGTCAGCGCGCCGCGCTGCTGTCCGTTTGTTTTTTTACGCATGCGCTTGACCTTGGTCGCACCAGATGGCTGTCTGTTATTTTAGCCAGAGCGTCAACTAAGCAGCACTTCGCTGGCGCTTTGCCACATTTGCGCTGCTAGTGGTCCGTATTTGTCGGGGCGGAGCAGTGCCAGGATATGGGCGCATCTATCAGCTGTGCCGCGCCCGTCGGCCGCCGGGGGGGATCCTGTTTCGCTCCGGCGGGCATCTGGTCCGCGGCGTCGCTCGGATGTAGCGCAGGGCTGTGACCTGGACGTGGGGTGAGGGATATTCCTGCCTCTACTTAATTCACCACGTTTCACCGTTTGGCCTGCAAGGAGCGGAGAACTTGCGACAATTTTCGCGGACGATGAGGACTCCTAGAAGGCTGCTGGGCGGAGAACTTAACGACAATCTTTGCGGATGGTGAGGACTCATGGAAGGCTGTTGAGTGGAGAACTGTTGAGCGAAGTCTGTTTGTCGGCTTGTCACGAGAATGGCGCGCCCGTCGAGCCCGGCGTTGTGGGCCGCGTGTTCACCGGGAGCTGATAGCCCGGCGGCTCGCGTGCGCCATGCTGCCGCCCCGCTCTCGACGAGCGTTCGACCCGGGCTGGGCTCCGCCGGGATCGGTGCAGCGATGGCTCGCCGCCGCACGCCAGCCGGTCGTCGCGTCGCCATCAGCCGCGCGGCCATCACGAACGGCTCGTGATGGCGACCGGTCGGCCGGCTCGCCGGTCACGAACGGGCCTCCGCGGCCGCGATGAGCTTCCTCCGCCGCACGTGGCGCTCGGCGGGCTTCCCGCTGTGGCCGGCGGGGATTGCGAGCTCCGGTCGATGTCACGGCGAGCCAAGCGGCCGCGTGACGCCCCGCGGCGGTCACGCCCTCTCGGTCTGGGGTCGCGCACGCCACCAGCGCGTCTCCGGCTGACCTGGGCTGCTGCTGGGCCGCTGCTGTGAGGTTTGGCGGCGAGCGGGCGTCGCGTGAACCGAGCGTGACGCCGGCAGCGATTCTGTCGCCGTTTTCTGTGGGCACGCAACAGCTCGTCGCTTTGGCGTTCTCAGTGTTTTGGTGGGATCGTGCCGTCGGTGTTCTGACTCGCTTCGATTTTTCAGCCCTGGAGTTCCAGAACAACCTGTTCAAGACGATGGTATCCATAGAGAACACCTATTTTGAGCTGGCGAGCACGGTGGACCAGAACTGCCTCATCATCTGCGACCGCGGGACCATGGACGCCAGCGCCTGTGCGTGAGCCGCCCGGTGGCCTGGGCGGGTGCATTAGAAGGCCGGCTGGGGCATGCCACTGTGGTGCTCATCACCCGTCACTTGACCTTAGATATTACAAGCGTGTGGATAATCACACCTGGCAACAGCGGGAGTGTGCAATGCCCGAGAACTCATCATTGCTGACTAGTCCGATAGTCTTGAGTGATGCGAGCGGCGTCCGTGTCAAGCGGAGCGAGCTGTACCCGCTTCGTGCCCGGAGGCGGCGCGCTGCCTGTCCGTCGGCCCTGTCACTCACCAGTCACTCGTGGACGACAGGTCACGCCAGGCGGGCCGCCTCCCGTCCCCGCGTACGGCTGCAGATGCATGTCTAAGGCTGACATGTCACGTGCCTGCTGTGCTTTTTCGATGGCGCGTCGTGCCAGGCGTTCCCAGTTCCGTTGAGAAACGCTACCTTTTGTGCGATACGGCTCAAGGCAGTACCGAATTACATTCGTGCTGTTAAGCAAGCAACTCCTGCACACTCAGCGTGCGCATCTGTCCAGCTTCCGTGAGCAGATCTACCGGGCCTGTGGTGTTGCTGCTGTTGACAGGGCCGGAGATTGCCGACCCAGGATCTGTTCTAATTTATCGCTGAACTCCAGCGGGGGGCGGAACTCCGGTCTGGTACCGGTTGATCCCTGCCGGGGCGTCCCCCCCCCCTCCGCCCTCCCTGTGCCGTCCGGCCCGACGTAAGCTGACCTGACCTGACCCGACCCGACCCGACCCGACCCGACCCGACGCGACCTGACCTGGCCGCGTCTCGGCGTCTGCCGCAGTCGTGCCGAAGGAGCAGTGGGACGAGATCATGGCGCGCAACGGCTGGTCTTCGGTGGTGGAGGTGCGCGACAACCGCTACAACCAGATTATCCACATGGTGTCGGCGGCCAACGGCGCCGAGGAGTTCTACTCGCTCGAGGTGGGTGCCCGGCGGCCGGCGCCGGGGCTGCGCCGAGCACTGTCCACTCGCCGGTGTTGTGGGCCCGCTGCGCGGAGCTTCACGTCCCGGGCGATGTCCCGCCGGCGGGGGCGCGCCGCGGAGTGACCGCCGGGGTCGCTCGCCGTGCCGGGTAAGGTGCCGGGCTGCTGTGCGGGGCGCTGCCAGCGGCGGAGCGACGGGTCTCTCCACGCAGGTCAGCCCGGAGATCTGGAGTTTTGATGTGTTCATTACTTAGGGGCTTCGTCGCATTGGTTGTGAAGTAAAGAATGATCCTAACGCGTTGGTGTTGGCGCTAAGCTCCAACAGCGCTAGCATGCGTTTCACGTAATGAATCGAGCTGAACGACGAAATAGCTTTTGGGTTATATATATATATATATATATATATATATATATATATATATATATATATATATATATATATATATAATTGTCTTGGGCAATAGGGCGGGGTCAGTGCATCCCCATTATTCCATTATTATGCTTGCTAGTGGCCTAAGGCTGAAAGCCTGTTTGTTGGCTGACTTGTTTAATTGAAGGAGGAGCGAAACAATTGTTGGCGTATGAAGGATCATTTTTACAGTTATGAGGACAGCATTGTGGACCCTCTGACATTTATAAAGTGGACCAAAAAGTTACCATATTTTTGCGCAGTTTTTTTCTCATGTAGATCCATTGGTAGTATTTCCTTAAACCAGATTAAAGTGGCGCAATTTCCCCTGATGCTAAGTTTTTATCACAATATGATCTCTGTGAGAACATGGGAAAGGTTTCACCTGACCAGGAAATGCCTGTTCCATATGTGGCGTCAGACGTGCACGTGTGAGTCACGTAAACCATCCAGCCACCTTGTGTGGCTGTGCAGTGGCCCGGGCGGTGCATCTGCTTTCATTCAGCAGTCAGAAGCTGCATCTCCCCCTGAAATGTCCGCGTATCTCATTCAGCTGTCTTCAGCAATCACTCCTCCAGTGGAACCCATCCTAGCCGCTGATGAAGGGAGGCAGGGGGCATGGTGTCCAACAGCCCCCTTGTACTTACCGGGTGGGCGGTCACGCGCGGCCGGTGGCTGCTGCTTGGGCCCGACAGGCGCCCGGGTCAGCGGGGGCGGGGGCGGGGGCGGGGCGGGCCGGCCGTGACCCCGGCCCGGCCGGCACCGAGCGCTGTTGTCTGCCGCAGGACGGCCCGCGCCACTGGGCGGTCGCTACCGGCCGGCAGACGCTGGTGAGCCGCCGCCGCTGGCGAGCCCTCCCCTTCCCTGCCGCCCCCTGACCGCCCCCTCACGCCCTGTCACCGTAGCGGTGAGACCCTGACGTCATAGTCCGCACCCACTGGCGGCCCAGTACTGGGCGGTGACGTCATAGTACCGAACCCGTGACGTCATAGTGCTGAGCAAGTGCTGTCATAGTGCTGAGCCAGTGACGTCATAGTGCTGAGCCAGTGACGTCATAGTGCTGAGCCGGTGACGTCTCGGTCCTGTCCGGGCCTCGTAGTGTGGAGCGGCGAGCCTGTCCGGTCGCCGGCCTGACCTAGCCTGACCTGACCTGGCGTGACCTCGGTGCGGGCCGGAGGGGGCGGCCCGCGGACCGGCTCCACGCCCCACGCTGACCCAGGGCGGTGCACGTGACCTGTGACCTGACCTGTGCCGCTGACCACCTGCTGTGCGTGTGCACTAACAGGGGGCCCGGCCGGGCGCGGGCCGAGGTGACGGCCGCGTGTCGTCGGCGCCGTTGGCGACGTCCGGCCCGGGCTCTGTGTGGCGCCGGTTCGGCGGCCGGCCCGGCGGCGGCGGCACGAAGCCTCTGGTGCCGCAGCTGCCGGCCAGTGCTGCTCGGGAACCTGCTCGGCTGGCGGTGGCCCGAGAAAGCAGGCGTTAAACTTGATGGCTACCGTTTAAAGTAGTTCTTTCACGTCGGGACTGATTTGGCTTAGCCGTTGTAGCCCATTGTAGGGGGTCACATGATCTCAATGCTGGTGGTGACGCCTCAGCCCGGCCAGTGGGATGTACTTTGAATGCCTGATCTTTGAGGTGTTTAGGTACTGGATTGCAAAATATTGGGGTGGAAGTGAAAATATCCGCAAAACCCCCGCAAATCCCCAATCCCCTTTCCCGCAAAACCCCCGGAAATCGGGAACTACACTTTGACATTGTTTTAGCTTTCGGCAGACCTGAGCATCGTGGATTTTCTCACCCGCTTTCATGTCGATTTCTCGTTTGGTAACGTTTATGTCACTGCGGTATAGACTACGTTGGACAGTGATGGCCACCCTGTCCACCCTCTCCACTGTCCGCTGTCCACCTTCTTTTTGTTATGGTGAGTAACTGTCTATTCGTTTGAAAATCCAGAATTTAAAATGTATGTTATCTATTTGCATCATGACATGTCTCATGCCATAGAATGAGTTCACGCAGACTCCCCCTCCCCGCTCCCCCCCCCGCCCCCCTCTCCCCCCCCCCCCACATACATCGTCACCACCAAACACACAAACACACACTGGCCGCTCTCTGGTGCTTCTCAACCTGTCCCTCGAACTGTAGCCACAGCTTGGCGGGAACGTGGCAGACCAGGGCCTCCCTCTCCTGCCCCTCCCCCCTCGCTCCCCCTCGCCCCCTTTCATGGTTCGTGTCCACTGGTAGGACGACTTGAATGCCGTCTCACTCGGGCGAGCACCGCACCTGAGCACAGCCGGCGTCGCCGACTAGAGTGGCGCCGGCCGTTTGACGCCCGCGCCAGGCGCGTGCCTAGGTATTGTGCACCGCATCAGACGTCAGGGGTCGGCCAGCGCCGCGCCTGGCTCACTGCGGGCGTGCACGGGAGCGAACTAGTGCACCAGCTGTCGATTCCCGAGTCGCACCGCCACCCTGACCCGGTGGCTGCCTGTAGCGTGAGAGCCTCCTGTCCGCGGCGGGGCGTCCTCCGACGCCAGGTACGTCGGCATGGTCCAGTACAGCTGAGGTCTGCACGGCCTGCCGCGCAGGCGCCGGCTGTGTTCGTCCTGCCGCTCGGCTGTTTGCCTCCAGGGCGGTCCCAGCGGTGCTGAATTGGGTGGTCTGTGTCGAAGGCGGCAGTGCGGAGCCGTCTGTGTGTGTTGACGTGCGTTTGAATGGTGTGGTTGTCTGCCGGCGTTTCTCATCGGCGTGCGTCCGCGTCTCTGTGTCTGCTACTAACAGCTCATCCGAGTGGGCTTCTCCAGCGTGCGCTGTGCGCCCCAGCCTGAACTGGTGTGTTGGCGACGGTGCCGGCCCTGGCTTGTGTGCTCACCGCACGGCCCCCGGCCGGCCGCCGCCCCACGCCGGCCTGCACAATATGCCTGCCGGCTCGCTGGTGGGCCAGGTAGCCATTTCCGTGGGCATAGTCAGTCATCAGTCGCCTTTTGGGCTCGTCTTGGGGATTTGTCGCTGGACATCTGCTGTCCCCCTCTCCCATTGGTCCGCGTGGCGCGGACTCACACTGATGTTCCGTGCGCGCAGGTCAAGGCCGGCCCCTCCCCTCGCTTCCGCCGGTGAGGCTTCTGTCGCCTTGTGGTGGGGCTTCAGCACGTTAAGAAAAAATATGCGGCGCCAAACCCATACGAGGTCGTTGAGAGGTAGCGCTCCGAGTCGTCTCGTCGCGTTCGTCTCGGACGTACGGCCGCTGCGGCGGGCTGGGCCGGGGTGACGGCCGTCGGACGACCGGCAGTGCCGACATTCGGGCATGCTGGGTCGGTCTGGGGCTTCGCTGCTCCGCGCACCTGCCCAAAAACACGCCAGAACGCCTCCACTGAGCACTCCAAACACTGTCCTGAGACGCTCAACTAAAACCCACCTATGGAACCTCTTAGTAAACGCCTTACCGACACTCGATCATATATATATGTATATGTTTATATATGCTAACACTACCGTCAGCCTGCGCCCTCCTAAACTCTGTAGACGTCTGGTCCTGGGCAGGCCGTCGACATTGAATGGACACCCCGCCGACAAGGAACACCGTGTACCCCCGGTGAGGGGTCAGCGCTCGAGCGGAGCCCCGTGCGACGCTGTACTTCGCCCAGGCCGCTGCCGTCATGGGATTTGAGCCTGGACGATGCGTCGTCTGAGCCGTCTCCGCGTCGGCTACGGAGCGCGACGCCGTGCTAGCCCCCTCCCCCCCCACCCCCCACCAATGCTTTTCGAGTCTGTTGATGCTGGTTGTAGGCTGTCGCGGGAAGGGAGCATAATTGTTGCGTCTTTTCTGTGTCCGAAAATGTGCTCTTTTGCACATTTAAATTGACTTGTTGAGAGAAAATCAAAACGCTCACCTTAACCGCGATGTCCCTTCTTTAAGACCTCTAACGGTTCGTCATGGCGTTCTGGACATCATTAGCCTTCACAAGCACAGTCGACCATCGTCACTTGTTTATATCAAATGTTGAGAAGTCCGTCGATCGCGTAAGGAGCAGCACAGAGCTCCCGTGAGCAGAGGGTCGCAGAGTCCCGCCAAGTCAGGGACTGACGGTGGTGCCGTGGTGGCGGCCGTTGATGCCGCCCGCCCGGCGACTGACCCGGCCCGCGCGGCCCCGCCCCCGCAGGACCACAGCTGTCGCAGCGAGGACCTGTCGCTGGCGCGGCACCTCGACAACAAGGCGGCCGCGGCCTGGGTCGGCCACCCTTACTTCGACGTCATGGACAATTCGTGCGACTTCGACACCAAGATCCGGCGCACGATCGCGGTGAGTGCGCCAGGGCACCACCGGAGCTTGTGGGTGCACCGGTGTGGCTGGAGCTGGTGAGTGCGCCAGGGCACGGCCGGAGCTGGTGAGTGCGCCAGGGCACGGCCGGAGCTGGTGAGTGCGCCAGGATGTGGCTGGAGCTGGTGAGTGCGCCAGGGTGTGGCCGGAGCTGGTGAGTGCGCCAGGGTGTGGCTGGAGCTGGTGAGCGCGCCAGGGCACAGCCGGAGCTGGTGAGTGCGCCAGGGCACGGCCGGAGCTGGTGAGTGCGCCAGGGCACGGCCGGAGCTGGTGAGTGCGCCAGGGCACCACCGGAGCTTGTGGGTGCACCGGTGTGGCTGGAGCTGGTGAGTGCGCCAGGGCACGGCCGGAGCTGGTGAGTGCGCCAGGGCACGGCCGGAGCTGGTGAGTGCGCCAGGGTGTGGCTGGAGCTGGTGAGTGCGCCAGGGTGTGGCTGGAGCTGGTGAGTGCGCCAGGGTGTGGCTGGAGCTGGTGAGTGCGCCAGGGTGTGGCTGGAGCTGGTGAGTGCGCCAGGGTGTGGCTGGAGCTGGTGAGTGCGCCAGGGCACGGCCGGAGCTGGTGAGTGCGCCAGGGTGTGGCTGGAGCTGGTGAGTGCGCCAGGGCACGGCCGGAGCTGGTGAGTGCGCCAGGGTGTGGCTGGAGCTGCTGAGTGCGCCAGGGCACGGCCGGAGCTGGTGAGTGCGCCAGGGCACGGCCGGAGCTGGTGAGTGCGCCAGGGTGTGGCTGGAGCTGGTGAGTGCGCCAGGGTGTGGCCGGAGCTGGTGAGTGCGCCAGGGTGTGGCTGGAGCTGGTGAGCGCGCCAGGGCACAGCCGGAGCTGGCGTGACCCAAGACTACTGGATGCGACCGGAACCGATGCAGACCTTATCCGCTCATACGATCGGGGTCGGCGCCCCGTGCCCTGCCGCGGCCAGATTTCGGCCGGGTTTCGCTAAATCGCTAAAGGCTTCTTAGACCTGTAGCGTTTTAGATGGTGACCTGTAAGCGTGTAACGTGCAAGGTTTCCGACCAGACGGTCAGTTTTTCAACATGAAGTCCCTCTCGAAAAGATCATTGCGATGAAGCTTCGTGGTTTGTGCTGCGCAAACGTATACCACGCGGTTTAAAAGTGCGCGTGCTCATTAGCCTTCTTTTCGAGTTAAACCGCGATTTAGCACGTTTTGTCTCGAGTTAGTTTAACTCGTTCATCTCTACGGCGTGGTAGTGCCGGGTGGTTCCGCGCTATTCTACCAGTCATATCGAATCTGCTGTGCTCTGCTGTATCCCGACCGGACATCCCTACATAGCTGATTGAAATCACCGCGAAAACTGGCCATGACATTTCCACATCCCAACTGCCTCGAAAGCACCCCGGGCATATCACTTCGTTTGACCTGAACACCCCCTCCCCAACCCAACCACTATCGAGTGGGCGGCCGTCTGACGCCCGCCCCGTCCAGCGACGCCGCCACCCGGCGGTCGGGCGGCCCGGGCCGGATATACGCCCAGACTATCTGGCTGAGATATACGGGGCCGGCGGCGCCCGAGCCCGATTACTTGACCGCGGCCGGTGTTGCGTCGCAGGTGACCGTGGGTGCAGGCGCCCCCGCCCGGGCCAGGTCACCGCATCGACACAAGCCCCGGTGTTGACACCGGGCCCTGCTATCAGCTACTGAGCGACTCTCCGGCTTTGGCGCCGCCCACTTAAACTGATGAGAGGACGCGGGGGTCGTGGTACTGTCGATCGGCGACCAGTCGCGGATCGTATGACCGAACACAGACGGTTGACCCGCCCTGCCGCTGACGCTCCGTCTCCGCCGCGTCCCCATCCCGCGTCACATGACCGGCCACGCCCGCGGCCGGCCGCCGGCGGCGCCGATTGGCCACTGGGAGCCTTGAGTGTCGCGCTCACCTGGGCGCCGCTGTCTGAGCTGAACGGGTTGGGCGGACTCTCGCCAGGCTTTGACTGCACATGGATGTGCGGCAAATGTGTGGATTGAAGGTTAGTTGGGTAAGCTTCAGAGTCAATGACAAACTTATTAGCTTCACTGTGGCACTTGCCTTCGATGCTCCGGTGACGTTTCCAGCTCTGAAAGCTCTGAAAAGTTCCGAGATACCGTCTGTCAGATCCCCCCCCCCCCCACCCCCATGATCCAATTCAGTACTGCCACGCGCATTCATGCGTTTAGTTAAGAAGAATCGCCTGGGGTGCCGGTAGTGTAGTGGTCAGCGCGTCTGCGTTCACCACTGCGCATCTGGGAAACCAGAGGTACGGGGTTCGATTCCCCGCGGTGGCCGCACTTCCTGCCAGGGTGAGAGGCAGGCGACGCCATATAGCCTCAGCAGCTGAGTGCGTCGTAAAGCCCCAATGGCACACAAGAAGAATTGCCAGTAGTCGCAGAGTTTCGTTCAAACTGGGAAAGGCTCACTACCGCACTGGGCCTACGCGCATGTGCCCCCTCCCCCCCCCCTCCCCCATGAGAATAGAGTAACTGGCGTTTTCTGGCAGCCACTGGGGACCGAGGAGCGCGGAAGCATCTCAACAAATGCATGAATCAAACCCCTTGTCAAGCAGAACGTTTTCCATACAGTGTGGGACTGTTGGGCCCCGCTGGCGGGCCAGGCAGCCCCACTGTGCGTCAGACGACGCCTCCCCCTCCCCCTCCCGGCCGGGCGCCGGACGGCCGGCGCCGACGCCGACGGCGCGCCTGGCTCCGTCACCATGCCGACTATTTCGGGGCACGCGCCCCTCCCCGGCTTACTTCTCCCACCTGCCCTCCCTCCCTCCCCCCCCCCCCCCCTGCCGAGACGGCTGGCCAGACTCTGCCACGCCAGACACTGCCCTCGTCAGAGGCGGCCCTGCCTGCCTGGACAGCCATAGTCGCGCTCCGGGGTGTTGCGCACTTCTGATTGTGTGGCCCAGGTCTGCGGTGGCGTGTTGCGTTCTGAGTGGTCCTCAATTAACGGCTCTTCATTTGCCTTCATAACGTTGATAATGTGCTAAATCGTGTTGGTGTGTAACAGTCAAGTTGCACAATATTATGCAGTTGGCTGTTTGGTCGATCTTCACGTCGCTAACTTAGCAGCATTCTGTTCAAGGGTATTCAGTATGGTTTCTTCAAAACAACCAATCATATTGTGTCGTGCGGGTCAGCGCTACTCATTTCTTCGCCTTTTCCTTCTCCCTCAGTCCCCAGCAGAATGCGGATGTTCTGTTCCTGACACGAGATTCACATGCCTGTTATGTTCCTTGAACGAGGTTCACTTGCCTATCTCGCAACAGACTTCGCACGGTTTTCTGTGTTCGGAGGGTTTCTGCCCAGATATTTTTCTTGCTCCTTTGTTCCGCAACCACGCTTATACTTCGTGGGTGCAACCGCTTCTGCACTTGCCCTTCTCTGGTCCTCGTCCCTAGAAAGCAACTCAAATATTGGCTTGGCCATGAGAATTGGAATCCATGCATCGGTGCCCGTTCGCATTGGTCGCAGTTGCTGATGTCGCAGCAGCTGTTTATATGAAACAATGCTTCCCTCGCACTCACCGCACGGTAAATTTGGAACGAACATTGTTCGATGCGTGCCGCCGGCACCTGGAAATATAAACACAAAGTTTCCATGATTCATGCATGTTTTTTCGATGGTTCCAACTTTCATTGAGCACTACCTAATTTTGTGTTTGATGTCACGACGCCGTGATTACCATATGAAATACCACGCTGACCATTTTGTTTTAAGCATTTAGCAATTAGTGATTAATATTAGATTAAGCAAGCAATTAGCAATTCTGTATGTTCGACTGATGACAAAATATACGTTCGATAATAGCCCCGAAAAGTTCTTACCTACTGTGGATGTTGATATGGGCTATTGCCTGATATTACAGCTGCTACTCGTCTATGACAGCGAATAATATGAAATCGGGAGAAAACGGCAAATTTCTTGAAGGCATCGGAACCATCATCAGCTTAATAATGTAATGATCATTCAAAAAAGAAAATAAGGTGCCCACATCGGCGATATAACTACTTTGGTGGCTGGTAACTTCTCCTAATGAACCGTCGCCTGTTCTGTGCTGTAAGATGCTCTTCATGTTTTCCACGTGTGTTCTGGGGTAGGCTGTGTGTGTTCCCGCACATTTGGCATGCAGCAGTAAGATGTGAAATATTAGTGTCCACGCGGAGGGAATCTAAGTGAGTAATCCGGTAAGCGGATGTCGCCAGATCATGATCATCTTCATGTCGCTAGTTTTGCCTCAGACATTGGTAAGATCTTCACTAGTCAGACCATCGGCCACTGTCGTTACTGAACGACAGCAGGGAAGCGGGACCAGCTGCTGCCAGCCCACCGGGCTGACTGTGTGACGAGTTTGGCAGCCGGCGGCTTGGCTGATTGGGCGCTGCCAGCTTGGCGTGGGTCCGGCCCCCTGTCGCTGGTATCACCTACATTATTTGGGCGTAAATGTCCGTCATCTTTAGGGCCTTGCAGCACCAGGCGTGTTATGTATGCTTTCACTTTTTTACGACGTCCTGAAAAATCCGGGCAGGGTCCACTTTGACATCGCCCGATGGCGTGAAATGCGCCTCTGAGACGCCGAGGGACACACGTGCTGCCTCAGAATCACGCAGAACACGCTAGGTGAAAACCCCAATTACGGTCAGGATTCTGAGCGCTCCTGTGGTGCAAACGTGCCTCGGGGACGACGGCGGCTGATTCGCCAGTCGTCTTTTTATGGAGTACAGAGCAAAGGGAGGCTATATTGACTCGGAGGCAGTAGCTGCACATAACCTCAGCCACCGCCGGCCGAGGCGGTCGGCGTGCTCGAGAGTGATGTGTCAGAGATACTCCGCTGAGCGCCCCTGCCAGTAGCACGCGGTCCGGTTCACATAATCGATGATGTCATCAAAGTGGGACGTGCAATACAGTTCGTGCTGTCTAGGACCGTCATAAACAACTCGATGTAAGCCGATAGTGAGTGATGACTGCGTCGTAGTGTAGCCAGGCTTACGTTGTCCCTCCGGCGTTTTAAGTGGTACTTACGGTGTATCACTTTCCTGTAGGCGTCACAACGCCTGCAGAAATGAGATCCTGGTATCGGCCTGCTGACCGTCAGATACGAACCACGTCCACCTAACCTGAAAATCATTTTGTAGGCATTCTAAGTACTCACGTCCTTCAACCTCAGTTTTTGTTTTCGTTTGAAGAGATCTGTTATTGTTTTCGACGTAACTATTCGTTTACACTGATGCAGTATTTTTAAGTTGTGCTACTACAAGTAATATTTTAAAGCGTAGATCGTAAATAATAAAAACTGGGTACTGGATTTACGAGTGTAACTGATGACTGCTGCTCGTTATGCCCTCGCGTTCGATGGAGCCACGAGTACTCATTGCAAAAACAACCGACGTTAGACCTCCAGCCGCAAGCCACCGCCTCTGCATGCAGTGCTCTCGCCGGGAGCCAGCGTCCGGAGAGCCGACGGTTTTGCAGTGTGAGTGAGCGGTAGGGCTTTAAACCGACCACCAGCTGCCACCTGTGGTGTTCTGGCCGACATTCGCGACGTTGCCACCATCAGGCTGACTTTCATAGACGAAGGCCCCATTCGGCCACACGCTGTCGCCCGTTGGATGGCAGTGCCAGGCCGCACGCGGGCCGCCGACGCCGCTCTCCGCCGGCCAGCTCCTCAGCTGAGCGCCGCTCTCTGGCGCCCGCCGGCCCCCGCCCTCCCCCTCGGGCGTGGCCTGTGGAGTAGGCCGGCGGTGGTGGCCAGCGCCCCGCCGGCCCGGTCGGTGTCAGCTCGGCGCCGGGTGACCGTGACAGCCAGGCCGGCGGCGGTCGGTGTCAGCTCGACGCCGGCCCGATCGGTGTCAGCTCGGCGTCGGGCGGCAGCGGCGGGCGACCGTGACAGCCAGGCCGGCGGCGGTCGGTGTCAGCTCGACGCCGGCCCGGTCGGTGTCAGCTCGGCGCCGGGCGGCAGCGGCGGGCGACCGTGACAGCCAGGCCGGCGGCGGTCGGTGTCCGAGGGTCGGCGGCCTGGGGGCGGTGGCCTGACCCCGGCTGCTGATCAGGTAGCTGCAGGCAGTGATCATCACACCTCGGGGGTTGTCAGTTGGCTCAGAAGCAGCAACGCGAGCTGACGCTGCCGCTTGCGTCGGGTGCGTCCGGTGTCAGAGGGACTCAGGAATGGTACTGGCCAGTGATTAATGTGGCGGCGGCACTCCCGCTGGCACGGTGTTGACGTGATATGTCAGCAGCATCTCAGCGCTGGTGACGGCTGTAGTAGTGTCCATTCAACAGACATGATCAGCACTGGACCCTGCCGCGCCCATCGCTGTTCTGACTCGCGACGTCTCGGCGCGGCCGTGACGCGGCGACCACCCGCGATATCGGCCGCGAGGCTACGTCATACGGCGCCTGGTCAGTGCGCATGGGCGCTCGCACGAGGCGTGGCGCCTCCGCGTCGCCTGCTGAGGTCACACACCAGCGCCGGTGGCGCTGCGCGGACCGCCGCGACGGACCCAGTGCCGTCGGCGCGCACCCGGTGGGCCGGTCCGGAGTGCTGGCGCTGCGCCCGACCGGCCGCCCGCCGCCTGGCCCGCGGCCAGAGCGGGCGACCTCTGACCACGGCTAGAGGCGCCCGCGGAGGGCGGCCCCGAGCCTCGCGTCGGCAGGGTCGGGACAGGCGCAGCGCCAGCGGGGGCGCGCCGCGGAGGACAGCCAAAAGTCAGCGGAAACAGGGGGGAGGGAGGGGAAAGCGCAAGACAGATGATTTGGGACCGACGAGCTGAAGCAGGGAATCGCTGCTAGGGAGCGGTGGCGCAAGGCTGCAAAGGCCCCTTTTCTCTCGATTGGTCACGCTGCTGGTCGTAGTACTCACGGTTCTGGAGAGCCAGGTGGAGCTGTGGATCAGGGGGGGCTTGTGTTGGAGATGCGAGTTCATCCGCGGCACTGCCTCAGGGCCTGAACATGCTACCATTCGCCGTCAAAAGTCCGCTCCTTCATTGAGGTCGTGGCTGTAATATGAGGTGAGATGGAATGAGAGTCAAGTTGTGTGGTTTTCACGTCCTGGTGCTGTCACCGCGGGGCATGTTGTGCGTGGTATCACGGTGTGGCGAGAACGTGTGGTGACGCGCGTTTACTGATCGAGGAGGAAAAGATCGCACGCCTGTGGTTCGCCGGGCGGGACTGGACCTGGGCGATCGTATACAGCTGCGCCGTCTGTCCCGTCACTCCTCATCACAGCCGGCCCTCCAACCCGCCGTGATCCCATGGACCAGCGGCGTCTGATGCGGTAGCCGGCCGTGCCTGACCAGCTGACCTGGCCGACAGACGGTCTGCCACCGCCTGGGCATCGACACTGGCGACCGGCTTGCCACCGGCTCCAAGAAGTTCAAGTTCCTGATCAGGCCGCCGTTGCCCGACACGTCTGCCTTCCCCGGCTTCCAGGACTTCGAGGTGGTGCACCACTACCTCAACACGGGCAGCAAGCGCATGCAGACGCGGCTGAGGAAGCGCGGACAGAACGGTACGTGTCCTGGAGGCCTGGCCTGGGTGTGTATGTCTTTGTGTGTGCCGGTAGGTGTGCAGTGCAGGCTTTGAGGGTAAAAGGGCTGGAGAGGGCGGAGACAGGTGCCGTGGGTAGGCACTAAAGGCTATTTTGCGCCCGGAAAACGGGAGAGCTGTTCTTTGGCGCAGCGCAGCAGTTTTTGGAGACTGACTAGAAGGATCCTTTAAGATGGTATTGTTGGGATTTTTTACCCTCGAGTGGCAGTTGATGAAAATCCTCCATTATTTTACGAGAATGCGCCATTGCAAGCGCCCGCGAAGAAGGTTCTCTGACCATATGAGGTCTTACTGTTACGACCTCGCGTGTTATCGTGCGATAAGGGCATACTTCACCGCTGCAAACTACCCCAGCATTGTTTACGGTTTGTTTTTTGTAAAACGTTTGGCGGAAAGACTGTGTCGATCTTTGGTGGGGTCTGCGTAGTTCATCACTGAGAGGCTAAAACGACGGCGCGTTTGTCAAAACAGGGTGCCGTAACCAGGAAAACGGCGGTTGAAGGATAACATGCGATATCTGCTGCAATGCGCGAACGGACTGGTCGTATATACTCGGTTGCAACACCGAGCTATGCTAGAGTATGCTCGGTTGCAGTACCCTTCGTTTACGTATCCAGTTCCATGCAGCCGAGGTAGCCAAGCTCTTTTTCTGACTAGAGCTGGAATGAGCTGGAGCCGTCGCTGGCCCTGTGCCAGGCCTCGACGCGGGTGGAGGCGGTCCGCGCGTGCTGCTCGGCCCTGATCAGCGGCGCCCAGCGCTGAGAGTGGCGGACTTCGTGCGGGTGCGGTCGGCAGGCTGCGCTGTCGCCATTTAGCAGAATTTCTCGCGTTTGGCTGCTTGACTAGCAGGAAAGGACACCTCACGCAATATTCTGAGGAACGGCTGAACGCCCACGTGGATTATCGTGCAGAATTTGCTCGACGATGGCGCCCTAGGAGGCAGTTAAATACGTGAATAAACGACATAATAGATCGGATTCGCACAACATAGAGCAGTGCTGCAGGCAGCAACAGTAGGCGTGACAGCTTGTTACAACTTAAACGTGAACGTTGTAACGTTGCATAACGCAAATGTAGTGTTGCATGACGCAAACTTGTCAGGTACTTCGTGTTGCTGTCATTCGAATTTCTTCAAAGTTCTTTTTTTTGCTCCTGGAGCGCTTCGTTATGCCGGCGCTCAGCACCAGCATGCCCGGCTTCACGTATACTGCTTCAAAATCGCCCAATCGCCAAGTGGCCACGTATGGCGCCGGCGACCGAACGAGGCAGAAACTCGCCAGGGAAAAACACTTTCGACTGCACAGTTGTCCCGTGCTGAACGCACGCTGGCTGGCCGCTCGAGGCTCATTCGCTTCCCGGGGTGGTGGCAGTCGGTGCTGGTGCTGCGCTGCGGTGCCGCCGGCGGGTCTCGCTGCGGGGCTGCGAGCGCCCGGTGGTCAGAGCGCGTGACGGAGCCGTGGGCGTGGGATAGATCTGCCGCCGGTGGGCCTCGCTGCGGGGCTGCGAGCGCCCGGTGGTCGGGGCGCGTGACGGAGCCGTGGGCGTGGGACAGATCTGCCGCCGGGCGTGTAATCCGCGCGCCGCTTGTCGGACGCCGACCGCAGTGTTTGGCCTTGCCGTGTGTCCAGACCATGGCTGTCCGCAACTCATGAGTGCTGCTGGTCCCGCCGGGAGCGTCGATTGCGTGCTGAGGCTCTGCGTTTGATCGTGTAGGACTGAAATCGTGCCATGCACCCGCTATCCTGGCCTTCTGGCTGGCTACAGCGCAGTACGCGTGTACGGTTGCAAGGTCCGTCGCTGAGGTATATTTGCACGGGTGTCCATCGTCCCGTGGCATTGGCTGGAGGTGAGCCTCTCCCAATAGCGATCCTCCGTGCCGTCTGTTCTCCGTTGGCCTCCCTTCCACGACGTTGCACATTTGCCAGTCGGGCGCCTCTCGCCGGCCCACTGCCGTGCAGCGCAGGTGACAGCGTCGCTGACGGAGGCCACGAAGGCCGTCCATGCGCCGGCGCCTCGGAGCCCGATGGTCACACGGTCACGGCCGCCGGCGCAGGTACTGGCCCACGGCAGCGGCAGCGCGCGCACACGGACACGGCGATGTCTGCTACAAGTGGTGGGGTGTGAGCGATGTAAACAATTCCTGGACGTTTCTCCCCTGCCCCAACATCGCCCATGCGGGCGTCTGCCCGCCCCGGCCCGCAGGGCAGCCCCCCCCCCCCTCCCCCTCCGGACTGCGCATGTACCTGTTTGCACGCCCGGCTCGCACTGCTCCCGCCCCCCCCCCCCCCGTCCTCATCTCCCCCAAGACTGTGTCGCCCCATTCCGGGCCGCAGCTACGCTGGTCGAGGTCAGTCTCGGCGCAGTGGGTCCTGCGAGGGCCGGCTGTCGGCCGATAGATGCCAGACACCGCTCGCCAAGTGTTATGGCCGGACCTGTAGCGTCAGTCATCTGCACGCAAAGCTGCCCGGAAACGACGGTTTTGCAAACCCAGTGTAAATACTGTGTATGTCATTACGGTTGTTTATGATGAATAAACAGTCCGTCAGGCTTCAGCCTTCTGAAAGAAAAGTTTGCCTGCATCTCACAAGTATTATACCGATGTGATCTTTTAACATACAACTTTTCCAGATTAAGGTTATATATTGTTCTGTTTAGACTGGAATAGTTGAAAAACCCTACGAAGGTCGATAGACCAGAAATCTGTACATCTAATGTGATAGACAACTGGGTCGCATAGCGTTCGCAGGTATCTTTATGACAGCGAAGATGTAGTGCCTGGTCCGGAGTTGTTCTATCTAGATACACACTTACCGATGTAAACCTAGGGGCAAGCGCCATGACAAGGTTGTCACGCAAAAGCATAACGACCCCATCATCGCAGGGTATGCATTTTATCAATTACGGCGCGAACCTTTCACGCGCCAGAACCGCGGGAAGTAACGGGCCGCATGGGGAGTCCGTGGACGCGAACTGTGCGAGCTTCACCGTGGCTGGCCAATGGCTCCGTGGCTGGCCAGCGGCCCGTGGCTGGCCAGAAGTCCCGTGGCTGTCCAGCGGCCCGTGGCTGGCCAGAAGTCCCGTGGCTGTCCAGTCGCCCGTGGCTGGCCAACGGCCCGTGGCTGGCCAGCGGTCCCGTGGCTGGCCAGAAGTCCCGTGGCTGTCCAGTGGCCCGTGGCTGTCCAGTGGCCCGTGGCTGGCCAACGGCCCGTGACTGGCCGGCTGGTCGCGCTAACCCGCCGCTGCCGCCCGGCAGGCACCTGGTCCTACACCCACACCATCCGCAAGCCGGAGAAGCTGGGCCAGACGGTGGAGGTGAAGACGCAGATCTCGCACCGCGACTACACCAACCTGCTGGAGCAGGCTGACCGGCGCCACCTGCCCGTCTACAAGACGCGGCGCGCCTTCCTCTGCAACGACCAGTACTTCCAGCTGGACATTTACCGGGAGCCGCACCACGCCAGGTGCCGGCCGGCCGGGGAGGATGGGCGGCCCGGAGTGGCTGGTGGACCGGGGAGGGCGGGCGGCCCCGGAGTGGCTGGTGGGCCGGGAAGGGCGGGCGGCGCCGGAGTGGCTGGTGGGCCGGGGAGGGCGGGCGGCGCCGGAGTGAGTTGTGGGCTGGGGAGGGCGAGCGACGCGGGGGGTGGGAAACGGACCGGCCTTCAGACGGCCAGACGCTACAGGGATAGAGTTTATCGGTTGGTTTGAGACCTTGCGCTGATACTTGGCTCTTGTTACCATGCCTTTACTGAGAAAGGGCATTGTCTAACGTGCAACGAAAGTTGCCAGCAGTTCGTGTCTGAGGTAGTCTGGATGCCGTGCGCTGGCTCAGATTATTGCTACATGCCCCCTAAGATATGTATTTCGCAGCCGACTGCTCAAAACTTCCAACTGTCATTTTACCGCGAGCGCCGCCTTTTCTTTTGTATCCCCCCCCCCCCCCCTCCCCCGTCATCCCCACGCCACCCCACGGAATGAACACACATCCGCGGGTCGTGTTCTCACATCCCGACTCCGTCTTCCTTGCCCGGTGGCCGTCACACGGGCGCCTCCCCGGCAGAGCGAATCCCCGGCGCTGGAGTCCCGACCTGTCCGCGGAATCCCCGACCTCTCCGCCCTGCATCCCCTGACCGCGCCGCTCCGTCAGGTGCAAGGACCTGCTGCTGCTGGAGACGTACTCGACGCTGCCGGTGGCCGAGCTGGAGCAGCGGCTGCCGCCGTTCTTGTGCGTGGCGGGCAACGTGACCGGCCAGGCCGAGTTCTCCATGTACAACCTGTCGCTGCGCGAGGAGTGGGACGGCCAGAACTTCTACCGCGGCCCGGCCGGTAAGGCGGACGCGCCGCCAGCCGCCGGCGGCGATCGCCACTAACACCGCGCCCCGGCCAGACAGGTGTGTGATGGCGGCGGCCGGCGCCTGCCGCGCCGCTTTGGTCGGTGCAGGGAGCGGGCGACGGGCACGAGCGCAGCAGGGGCTGGTCTGGCGCACCCACCGGCTGAATCCACGAGATCCGGGACGAGCTGGGCCGGCGGGCCGCGCTCCGCGCTGCGGTCGGCGGTATCACGCGTCCTCGGGGAGCTGAGCGGGCTCGCGACGTGTCCTCATGTGAAAATTAGTTCACGAGCCGCGTCCGAAATGGCGTCGCGATGCGCCGCCGGCTTTTTTGGTCAGCTTCCGTCTGGCCGCAGCGCTCGGGCCGACTACGCACTCGCAGCCGGCGGACCTGCTGTGGGCTCGGCTCCGTGGGTTCAGAAGAGTGCCCGGGTGTCAGCTAGCCCCTGCGCCGCGTCATTGTCCGTAACTCGCTTGCAAACAGCTGGCGCAGTGGGCTCGGCCTTCGCATGCTGGACGGACGGAGGTTTATCGACGTTGGCTTGAGTCAAGAGCTTCTACGTATAGGTCTGGCTGAGCTGAGTTAGATGTAAGATTAGCTAGATGCTCGCAAGGATAAGACAGAAGTAACAGCCTTGTCCCTCGGAGAAAAACCAGGAGGATGGAGATAAACTGTGCCTAGATATTGTGGAGATATGGTGGTGTACACACACGCATACACACACACACACACACACACACACACACACACACACACACACACACACACACACACACACACGCACGCACGCACGCACGCACGCACGCACGCACGCACGCACGCACGCACGCACGCACGCACGCACGCACGCACGCACGCACGCACGCACGCACGCACGCACACACCCACACACACCACACACACACACACACACACACACACACACACACACACACACACACACACACACACACACACACACACACACACACACACACACACACACACACACACACACACACACATATATATATATATATATATATATATATATATATATATATATATATATATATATATACCCTTTGCCTAAATATCCATCCTCCCGGATTTTTCCGGGAAATAAGGCCATTACTACTGTCTTATCTATGAATAATGTTCCTCGCAAATGCACTTAACAACTTACGTAAAGATGTTCGCAAGATTGTCTGCTTTAAAGGAAGGTCGGCATTCGCCGATTCGTGGCCCTTCTCCGTCTTCGTGTTGTTAGCCAGCTTGGCCTTCATGTGTTGAGTTTGGAATGATTTCAAGCCTGAACGAGAACGTCTGGTCGCTCCTTGCCATCCAGTGACCATATCCAGCAGCCATTCGGACCCTGACATTCCCCGCCCTCGCGTTCCTTCTCGGCCACAGACCGGCACGTTCTCCTCTGGCGCCCGCTGCCTACGGCGTCCCGTCTGACCCGCCGCCCGACCCTCCGCCATCACTCGCACGGTCGTCGCATGCCACCGCCGTGAGCGTCGCCGGCTGGCCGCGGCTGCCGCCCTGCCTCAGCCGGTCGGCGCCGCCGCCGCCGCTGTGTGCCAGCCGTCACCAGCATGGTGCCGTTGTGGAGCGCGGGCAGGCCGGCCCCCCGCCGCCGGACGGGACGGCGGGGGCGCGGCCGGGCCCTGTGACCGCGCCTCCGCCGCCGCCGCCCATGGCCAGCCGAGCCTGCGCCCTTCCGCCCGGGCTATCCAGCCCGGCTCGCTCCGACCCGAGACAGGGCAGAGAGTCATGCAAGTCAGAGGGGATCCAATGCCAAATCGTTCCGCATACGGATTCATGGTGTTCTAGGCAAAGCAGCCATAGGGTTGGAGCAAGCCAGGGCCCGGTTCTAACGCTTCCTCGCGCCCAGGGCCCGAAAAATCGCATGTCATTGTTTAATCGTGTTAAGTTCTTCCACGCGAAGATACGTTTAGCAGCTATACGTGATCGACCCCGGCACATGGCTTTTGTGTCGTGAACCATACACATGCCGTGCAGTGTTGAACATGCGTTTGAACGGGGCTGACGTTTGGGGACGACGTGTGGTCTGGGGACTGGTCGGTTTGCTGTGCCGCCGTATCGATTTGTAAGTGCCAGCTGGCAGGGGAAGTCGCATGTCCGCTCCCCTCCTGCATTACCGACACGCCCCGCCCCCCGCCCCCCGCCCCCGATGGGGGATTGGCACGCTGATGATTTTCGCGCGCGCCCGACCCAAACCCGGCCGGTGTGTGTCTCGCTGGCGGGTGACGCTGCACGGGACGCTGCCGGCAGCCGAGGACGAAGTGGACGACCAGTCGGCGGCGCCCGGCGGCCAGGCGCCGCCGACCAGCTGCATGTGCAACGGCAGCTAGCCGCGGCGCTGGCCTCTGGCTGCCGACGCCAGGGGGCGGGTCGCGGCCGCTGCGCCGCCACAGAGGGCGCTCCTGGCGGCGCCCTCCACTCCGGCACTCCGGGAGTGGGCCGACGAGTCGCGCCGCCGCCGCGCCCCGGATGTCTTTCGAGCGCGGTGCCAAGTGGCGCCACGCGGTCGCGCCGGAGGAAGCCGCAGCCGGTGCGGTCGGTCCGCCGCTGAGGCAGCGCGCGCGGTGCTAGGTCAGGTGGGCGGGCGTGAGGTGGGCCCGGTGGCGTCTGCTTCGGGTCGGCCGACGCCCATGTTATGTCAATACACATGTTACCGGGTGCACTGCTATGTTGTCGCCCGTCGGGCCGTCTGTCGACGCAGCGAGCTGGTGTTAGTCCCGTCGTTTTTACTGCCTAGAAACGCAAGCTGTGCAGCTGTACAGCTGTATCGCTTCGTCGCGCCGTCCGACAGTTCCACGCGCGCGAAACGCGCGCCGCGTACCGACTTCGTGACTCGGATCGGCGGTTTTCCACCGTTGCCAACAGCGCATGACCTGAACATCACGGGGTCGACAATCAACTGGAGGCTTACCATTGGAGAGGGTAGCGATCGAGCACCTGGCGCCCGGCCTTACACTATCTGAAGCATGCACTGTTGCAAAAGAGCCCTTTATCGAGTTTAGTGCAATGTATCTCGGAGCTTCGGGAGCTGAGGTCTGCTTCTCGCATTGATCTGCTGCGAGGACGGCCGTTAGAAGGCGGTCCTGCCCACGTCCTTAGGAATTACATGGATCAAAGTACGCAGGCTGCCAATATTTGCGTGCTAGGTCGACCCAGTCATAAAAAAACTATCAATTTGCTTGGCGACATCGCTGTTTGAGAGATGACTATGTACTTGGCAATCCCGCGTGATGTTCAGAATTTTGAGAGTTCTACTTTAGATTCCTCACAGGCGATCTCAACGTTTCAGTACCCTCCAATAATACGATTTCCTACTCGATAACACGTGTTTGTAATTTTATACTATAGTTGGTACGTCCGTTTTACTCGTACTCGATATAACTAGCTGGAAATTCATCTTAGATGTCATAGTCTCATAGTCGACCGCCAAATGTATTAATACATTGCATTGATTATTGACCAATGTCCAGACTCGTGCTGGGCAGGATTATTCCGTGCTTGACTGATTCTGAGACAGAGTTTCGTCTAAAATCGCAAAGTTTGGCTGAACCATTGTGGAGCGGAAAGTGACATCACTACGTAACACACACGGCGACATTTCCCGTGGCGTTGCCTACAGTTCATCAAAATCGTAATGAGCCAAGCCAGAGTCTAGTAACTCCAGCCAGGACCGATTTCAGTCATCTTTAGACACGCACACATTAGTGAGTAGTCGTCTTCAACTTGCAAATCAGCTGAAGCCGGAGCCGAAATGACCTCCACACACTGAGCCAGCGTGTTCTGAGAGGGTTCAGCACGAGTTCGCTCATACCACACCATGTCCGACACGTGAATGTCACCCGGGGAATGGGAGGAAAGCTCAGCTATGACCGAGCGCCTCACAGGCACCGCACCATCACGCTCAGCGTTGTCACTGTGACCCCAGCAGCCCTTCATATCGCAAGCACCGACCTGGGTCTCCTCATCCGGTCGACGCTGTTTCTTCACCAAAAACGAATGGTAGCAATCAGTTTATATTTGTGGCAAATCTCTTTTGAATCTCGCACCTCCCCACTTGCAGCGATGACACTAGTTACTGGTGCCCATTCCACGAGATCCTCGACGGAGTGCTGAATCGCAAATCACAAAGACCACGCGAAACGGTGCGGTGCGTGCCCGATAGGAAGATTTCCCGACCGGCCACCGGACGGGCCGGCCGAGGGCCGACGACTAGAAAGGAGGCCCGGCGGCGACCTTGTACTGGCACACGCATGCGTCCCCCCCCCCCCCCCCCCACAAACACCCCTGTCTGAGGATGGCACTACCGGCAGCACATCTCCCGGTCGCGCCGGTCCAACGCCGATTAGTCCTCGACGGACCAGCGGCAGCGTGGCCCCCTGGCCGGACGCCGGACACCGTACGACGGCGCGTGACTCGCCACCGTCCCAGGTGCGACCGATGCACCGTACACACGTGAACCTCACGCGCAGGCAGCGCCTCACGTCTCGCGATCTATCACACTGAGTGACTAACACAAACTGAGGCCCACGAGTATCATGCCATAACAGAATCCCCGTATCACACAAGCGTTTTGTGAGCATAATGCCGTTCCGTCTCCCCGGGCCGCGGGTGGCCGTGTTCCCCACGCACAAGACCTCGGCGAGGGCAGCACTTCGAAGCACCACACCACGCCCACGTGCCAGTGCCACACGTGACAATGCCCAAACCAATCCCTCCGCCCCCCCCCCCCCCCCCCCCCAAACACGCCCACTCGCACGATGCGTAGCGGCATTTGGTCCGGAGACAGCGGCTGGCAGCATCGGCACGGTGCTGCCACCAAGCGACCAGCAGGCGCATCAACTTAGTACCTTGTACTTCCACACCTTACTGAGGGCGGAGCGGTCGTCGAACAGGCTTCGAACCATAACCACCTGGAAAGGAGGCGACAGTGAGACTGTTGCCAGCAGCGCACGTAGCTCACACAGTGCAAACGTTGGCAGAGGCTAAGTGGAGGAGCGGAGGCCTGGACAGCGCTTTGAGATTCAAAGCCTCCCAGGGTAGGCAGATTCTGATTCCAGGTTCGAATGAACTCGAATCATCGCGCCGGAATCGCGATCTGATGTACCAGAATAAAACGAGAACGGATGATACAGTCTTAATACCTGCTCCGTTCGATACTTTGTTCACGTGTCGCCCTCCCGCACATGTCGGAAACGGTTGCACTTTTGCCATTACAATTTGACCATTGTATTCACAATCATATTATCAACGACCCAAAGTCTATATGATCATCTAAGTCTTAAAATGGAGCACGACGGCTCGAAAAAATCTGAAGGCCTTTGGAAGAGGCAAGAGGCGTGGTCCAATGATGGTGGGCTTGTCCTGTGCCTACCACAGAGGCCGGTTCGGAATCTGACAGCTGAAAAACCAACTGAAAGGCAGAGATCAGCCCTGTCACTACATCCCCATACGCATTGGCCGGCGCGGTTCGCAGACGCGGCCAAGATATAAAGCCGCCCTCTTCGCCCCATAGCCATCGATCGCTGCAAAAGGCCCTCTCTTTGATATTCTGGGGCTCCGGCATGCGGGCGGGGCTTCTCAATAAGGCCTTCAGTTAGTCCCTCAGGTCCTGCAGCCGTGCCTTTGAGCGTTGGCACCCGTTGGTGTCCGTCGCCCCCCCTCCCCCCCCTCCACCCCCACCCCGTTGGCGCCCCCGGCTCCGGATGGCCGTGCCAATTCTGTCAATGATTTTGACGTTAAAGCGCGATACATCAGAAACTGGCCACAGTTAATTGTGGGAGGCCAATTCCACCACTGACAGGTGTCAAATCTATCAGGACCAGCTCGGATATTGAGAAATATCGGGAGTATCCGCGGCAACTCTGACGACGAAGAATCTGTGCACAATCATACGCCTCTCGGTTTGCGTCAAGGGAATATGGCCTCTCCAACCCCCTAGCCACCACTGATTAGTACCAAAGACCCAGTCGCGCGGAGCACAGGCATCACGGGCCTAGCGTTTCGGATATCTACAATGTTTTTTTCTCGAAATCCACCCAGCGCTGTGAGACAGACAAGGCCGCCTATACCGCGCAAGTTGACTGGTCCCCTACCACCAGCGTGTGTTCCAATGACGCCTTACCCGGGACCGAATCCCCGTCATAGCTTGTTGCATGCATGCCTGCGCCTGGACTCCACCGTCCGACCGATGGGACGCCTCCGCCGTCGCATAGCAAGCCCACCTGCACGACGCCGACGGCCAGCATGACGATGATCTGCATCATGGACCAGTTGGCGACCAGTTCGAAGTTGGTCTCGGCGATGCTGCGGTCGCGCGCCTCGAACACGCGCAGCTGGTCCTGCACGTGGCGCGACTGCAGCAGCTGGTGACGCACGCGCCCCACGGCGTCCTGTCGGCGCGGGGCGGTGTCAGCCGGCCGTAAGAGCGAGGTGCCGCACACACGGCGGCGGCACAGGCGCACCACGCAGCGGCACCCACCGGCGACGACAGAACTGAGCGCTCATCAGAGGAAAAGAATACACGGCGGCGGCATAAGCGCACCACGTAGCGGCACCCACCGGCGGCGATAGAGAACTGAACATTTATCAGAGAACCAGAACATAACAGCACGGCTTCACGAGAAAAGGGTCGCAGCAAGCCTTCGCACCGACTGCAGTTAACTGTATTCTCGTTCAGTGGTGGGATCTATCCTTTCCACAATGTAAGCAGCGGCACAGTAATAACTAGCCGCAGCACACAGTCGTAGAGCACACACACACATGAACCGTGCTCATGGCATACGAATTTCCGCACGCATGGCTCCGCGTAGGTGGCATTGCCCACTTGTCTAAACAATAATCACAATAATCACATCCTTACGCTATAACCTATTTTTCGGCCAACGGCATTTGATTACACCGCATTGGGTCATTAGGGTTTTATGGCGTCGCCTGCCCCTTGCCCTGGCAGGAAGGTTGGAAATCGCGGGGAATCAACCCCGTACCTATGGTTCCCCAGACGCTCAGGGGTTAACGCAGACGCGTCGACCACTACAATATCGACAACCTTGGCAGGCTACTCGACGCGGCATTTTTACACAGCAGCGATGCGGTGTAAATACACAAGCCCTTTGGCACGCAGCTCTTGCCACAGGACACCTTCAGTGTGCTACGTGGACTCGTTGGACCACGGTACAACAGGCCGCTCGATACACAGAGCCGAGTGCAACCGCTGATTAAGGTCCGGCCGTTCAGACAGCCCGCTCCGAGGCCGAGCGAGGTTGTTTCGGCTGGCGACGCCCGTATTCTGTCACTCTTTTGGCAATGCGACTGGAAGGCTCTGGTCCGGCACCACGGAACCACATAATAGGTTTTTCAGTTAAACGCGAAAACGTTTAGCAGTTAGCAGATGCAGGGCTAGCTGCGGTGCACCAGCGGCACGTTGGTAAGGAATATCGAGTCAGAGCGTGGTTTCTGTCACATGGCGCCGGGGCACATCCTTATGAAGAATCAATGCAAAAGCGTGCATAGCAGTAATAATTGGGTGTCCTGTTTCAGCGTAACTCGCACTATCAGCTGTCCGCCCTACCGTCGCTCCCTATCAGTGGATTACTATACCAAAAACCACGCGGGGAATTTTCTAGAACAAATCTTGACTGGAAGACGATTTCCCAAGCGCAAGCGTGACGACACAGAGAAGGCGCGCCAGTGGCCAAGTACATGCCAAGAGGCAAAGTACACGGAAAAGGAAACTGGAAGGTCGATATACTGTGCGCAATCCCTGCGCATCTCAAGAGCAGCGAACGACTCCCGGTCCGCTCACCGGTACCGACCAATGACACGCAACGACTTGAGGAGTTCCCGATCCCGGCCGGTTCCACGATAGGCTGAGAGGTGAGAACCACATCAGGCAAACTGCCATCGGATCGAACTGTGCGTAACTCCCTGCCCAGACTTTGTTGGTGGCTTCTGTCCGTATGTGGACGGTATGCTAAGGGATCGTGTGTAGCTCATTCATTCAAACCAGCCCCTTGCCACGCCTCCGTCGCCTAGAGGAGAGCTCGCGCGAGCCTGCCGAGGCAAACATCAGAGCCGCTGTCTGTGACTCCCTCCAGTGTGGTACACTGAGCTCCCTGCACGGGCTCAATGTCAGTCATCTGTGCGAACATCGGCTCCGGGTCCACATCCCAGTCCTAAGCTCTCGCCCGGCCCGTTGCCTCCTTAACCAGAGCGCACCGCCCCGTAGCGCCGACCGCGTCCCGATGGCCGACTCACCCCGCTCGTCGTGGGACGGCGAGGCGGCCGCCGTCAAGCGGCTGGACGCGCCCTTCCGTCTGCGCATGAAGGGCGACGGCGCGTTCCGGCCCGATCGGCGGCGTCGCGACATCATCCAGCAGGAGGGCATCACGCTCTTCGAAACCATCGCCGAGGGCAGCTTCAGCAAGATCCACCGCGCCTTCTTCAAGCGAGAGCACAAGGAGGTGGTGGTGAAGGTGATCCCGAAGCGTCGCGCGCCGCCCGAGTACTACGAGCGCTTCCTGCCGCGCGAGATCGCCACGCTGCGGCTGACGCAGGAGCACCCGCTGGTGGTGGACCTGTACGCGGCGCTGGAGGGCCCGGCCGCCTACTACCTGGTGATGGAGCACTGCGAGCGCGGCGACCTGCTCGACTACGTCAACAAGATGGGCTTCCTGGCCGAGGTGGAGGCGCGCGCCTTCTTCCGGCAGATGGTGGACGCCGTGCAGTACCTGCACCACATGGGCATCATCCACCGCGACATCAAGCTGGAGAACATGCTGCTCAACGCAGACTACGAAATCCGCATCGCCGACTTCGGCTTCGCGCGCTTTCACGGCGAGCGGCTGTCGGAGACCAAGTGCGGCTCATTCGTCTACACGGCGCCGGAGATCTTCCTCGGCCATCCGTACAACGGGCTGCGCGCCGACATGTGGTCGCTGGGCGTGTGCCTGTACGCCATGGTGTGCGGCCGGCTGCCGCTGGCGCAGACACGCGCCGACCTGCGCGACCCGCACGCCCTGCTGACGGCCGCGCACCGCAAGCTGCACTTCACCAAGCAGGTGACGTCCGGCTGTCGCCAGGTGACGCGCCAGCTGATGAGCACGGCGCCCCAGCAGCGGCCCACCGCCACCGAGCTGAAGCGCTGCCAGTGGATGGGCCAGCCGCTGCACGTCGCCGACAGCGCGGCGCCGCTGGGCACCAGCTGGAGCAGCGTCAGCTCGCTGCGGCGGCGGCCGTCGGCGCTGAGTGCGGCCGCCGCCGAGACGCCGCCGCAGCCGGGCGCCAACTGCGATCAGCGCCACGGCGCCGCGCAGCCGGTGCGGCCCGTGGAGCGCGTGCTGCTCGCGCTGGCCACGCACCGGGCGCGCGGCCTGTCGCGGCGCGAGTTGCTCGGCGGCCGGCCAGGCGCCGTGACGGGCGTGGCCGGCCCGGTCGGCCGCCGGCTCAGCTTGCTCGTGCTACACGAGACGCACGGCGCCGGCCAGCGTCAGGCGCTGCAGCGCAAGACCTCCTCCTCGATGGTGATGCTCAGCTCGGAGGTGGTGATGAAGGCGGCGCAGAGTCGCTCCGCCCTCACCCTGCAATCCGACATGCGGATGCTGAAGCACTCGACGGCCGGCCAGGCGGCACGCGCCGCCAAGCAGGACGCCCGCTCCGCCAAGAAGAAGGGCTCGGCCAAGTACACGTCGGCCAAGATGCGGTGGAAGGCTGCCGTACTGGCCATGAAGCGGCAGCGCTTCAACCGCTGGCGCGACCTCTGCCAGAAGCTGGGCAAGATGCCGCACATGCGAATCGAAGACGCAGAGCAGGAGCTGGACATGGAGCAGAACTTCGACTTCAGTCAGTTCTAGTGTCGCCGTTATCCACAGAAGACGCGCGCTCAACACAGGGGTGTGCCGTCTACCGGCACCCTGCGCGGCGTGCTCGGCTTCGTTAGCGGCGCGCCCATAATGTTTGCGTGTCTGCGCCGCGGCTGGGGGGCTCATGGTTCGTGGACTTACCAGAACGCTTCTCACCTGTATGTCCTGTAGCTTCATGTCATACACCTCGTTCTCCGTGGCGCCAAACTCATGGTCGATCTCGTCCCAGACCTCGCCGCCGTCCTCGCGCTGCACGCCTATCTCGAAGAACACTAGCTTGTTGTTGAAGCGACTGATGGTGTTGTCCCAGCAGGCCTTGAAGTCACCCTCCTCCTCAGCAGCAAACCTGGTCATACACAAGGGTCACATTTGCTATCAAATAATATGGGCCCAAACTTACAAGTAGCTGGTTTAACCTGAGGTGCATTGCTGAGTTATAATATATATATATATATATATATATATAATACATGAGCAACTCGCTGCTGTACACACCAAAAAAATGTAATTTGTATTGCTGAACCTTGTCATAAGTGGGAAAAACATGGAACTGCTACTTGATTAGCTGCCAAAGCAATCTGACAAATGCAAGCATACAGTATTACCTGTGTGAGCTGTCAGACTTCTTGAAGTCTGTAACAAGCTTTTTGCCTGTTGGACTTGAGAGATGGAAGTTAATGTCAATGTCACCTTGACCTCCATCTATAACCTGAAAATAACAACAAATATAAGGGATGTAATGACAAAATCATTTTTTCCAGACCTGATTAAGAATATTGAGAAGCATTAAGTCAAAGAATATACTCAATCATTGTCATATTACACCACTCTTTGCATTTTTGAAGGAAGATTCCCACCATTATTTTTGCATCATTAGAGATATGCTGAAAAGCATTTCTCACAGATAACCACTATAACCATACCTGGTACTCAATGTCAATATGTTCTCCCATCCTAACAGCTGCGTAAAAACATTCCTCCTTGCCAGCTGCAACTTCAATAGTCAGCTCTGTTTGGGAGCACACTGCAGTGTCAGCAACCCACAGAACCAGAAGCATCAATGCTGATACACTGCAGCTGTCCATGGCTGACTTAAGCAGTGGTGTTCTTCAATGGAAGAGGTTCCAAACAGACAGGCTGAAAGAAGAAAGGTAAGGATTACCTGATGCATTTCCATGTTCAATTTGCAAATTATAGCCACGCCAAAGAAGCTCCCACACCACACATGCTAAATGTCCAAACATGTTGGATTCCAATATGAGAGCACCAAACTTCCAAATATGATTATTTCCAATATTAAACAGCCCATCAGTACAAGTAATAGCATAATATGACAAGCTGACTACCAGGCCTGACAACTTCTTGCCTTACAAGTGACCACAAAATGCACAATATAATCACCATGCAAAAGCGGCAAACTTAGCAATGTTCATGCCAGCTAGATGTAGTTAGGGACAAAGTCTTGGTTAATGAGTGCTGTTTCTTATGGCATTTTCTGCAAATACACAAATGAACTTATGATTTCCTTGCTTGAGCTGCAAAGAAGTTCATCTAATGATGTTTGCAGTGCAAAATATTAGCATTATAGTCCATTCAAAATTAATGTCATGCATGAAGGGAAGCAGGGCTTGATTTATTAAACTTTTGCAAGGGAGAGGAGGGCCAGGAAGGATGATATTAAAATTAAACAGGGCCACAACCATGAAATCTTAAACATCTAAGTGTAATAGTGAAATACCACGAGCTTCTTCACATGACAAACCAAACACCCATATTTTTCTAGAACCTCAAGCTCAATCAGGTCATAGGGACCGACGGATATTGCCTTTTTGGGAAGTCACACATAAAACAGCGCATCCAGGGCGAGATGTTCGCCAAGCGCGAGCAGTGCATAACCAGGTACCGGGGGAAAGACGTCAGAAAAGGCGGGCAAGCTACGCAACATAGTTAAGGACGTTCTGTTAATACAAACAGTATCATATCCACCTCTGTCAGACCCGTAGCGGCTGATTCCACACCACCACTTACCTATAACCCCGGCGCCCCCCAACCCGCCACCGTATCCCGAAACGTGAATGGGCGCAACATCAAGGATTTCTGAATCTCTAGTCCATTTTAGTGGCCAGTTCGGCAGCAGGAGTTCGGTATGGGCTTGATGGACAGAGATTTTTAGTGACGTCATGTAAAATGCATTCCGTTATAACGCATGGTTAAGGAGTTTTGCCTTGTTTTCACATAGAAATTGACAAAAAGCCTATTTTTATAACTTAAAATCATCATCATAAATGTGAAGAAGATTTTTTACGCATTTTACCGACCTAATTTCATTACGACTTACCTACCTAACAGCCAATCAGCGATGGAAAATTTCGTTCGTGACCAAGAGCGTTCACGTTTTATGCCGCAATCGTATTTATCGCGTCAGTATTGGTGACCAGCATTGAGTGCACAAGCGAGCCCCTGTGTGTATTGTGCTGTATCTTGGGTGCAGACAGTTGTTTTTACAGTGAGAGTAGGTGGCTGCTCTCCACTGTTTCGCGACTGTTATTGGTGACCTGTTTAGTGTGAAAGTGTTGCGGTGTGGGTAGCTCATTGGAACAAGAGGATATTAAACTGATGTCCATTGTCCATTTTCTACCGTCTTCGTTCCTTCATGACAAAGATCTTCATTGTGCTTTATTTTCGAGTTTCACCCTTAGGTAACTGAGTCGGCTTGCCCTAAGACCACATTCATCATCATCATTAGGTTGCTGATGAGATATCACCATGTAAAGTTAACTCGTGGCAGAGGCCATGTGTAGATGTAACTGGGGTTATTTTGAATTTGCACAGTGATGAATTATGTAGCCATATTTAGAGAATAGGTGTATGCTTTGTAATATTGATGCCTTTTAGTTGGTCAGTGTTGATGAAGTTTCATGGAGCATGGAGTCTCCTTGCATGCATTTAGCAGGTTCAAAACAATCCCAATGCTTGAAGGCAATGAGTTTTGACCAGACCATAACTAATATGTGGTACACAGGACATGCATTGTTAGCAGTGAAAGCATGGTGAGAACCTCAGAGCATTACATTGGAAATCAGAGCACTCTTATTTTGGTGTACATTCTGCACCACTGTCAACATTAAAAGGGCAAGTGTCTCAAGAAATTGTGATATTGTAGATTAGTTTCTGGAGAAATACTAAATAACCACTTTTCTCATGGAAAAAATTGAAAAATTTAGTTCAGTCTGGTCTAGCTTGAGTTCTACATTTGTATCCCCAGGGCTCCTGCACACACATTTCATGTAGGCATCTAGGACATCAGATGGATTTTTTGAAGACTGAAGATGTGCCTTATTAGGCTGAAATCTGTCTACTATGTAGTCTTGCTCAGAACTCAATGACATCTGGCAATGGTCAGAGAGCCCTTTTGGCTGGAATTCTATATGCACATGTACAACAGCTTGTGAGGTTGGACCTAGCATCGATCCCATCTGTATCATTGATGCCCTGTCTCAAACAATATGTTATTCTTTGTAGGAGGTCTTTGTGGTGACCTCCCATTGCAGCATACTTTTTCAAGTTTCAGTCTACTGCAGTAGCTTTGATCTGTAAAGCCCTGAAAAGCAAAGTCCCATGTAATGCTTTAAAGAGCTTTTCATAGTGTAAAGTGTGTCTGGGTGGGAAACTTTTGGTAATCCTTGTAATATTATGGTCATATAAAATATTAAGCTTCTGTCTGAGTGTGTGTGATATTTGATTGGTGAAGTTTGGCATAGCCCCACCAAATTTTGCATAGCTGTAGACAACTGGATAACAGGTCAGTTGGCCAAAAAAATTAGATGTACTCTGTAAGGTCACTGACCCATGGCAGATCAAAGTCAGGCCATGGTTTCAGTCAAGGCAATTTGTAGGGAATCATTCAACCTGATCCAGCAATGGAGTGTTAGACAAAGCCATACATCTGAGATACTTCCTTAGGCAACATAGCCATTGAATGAACAAATGGCATTGACATAAGGTCAGACATGAAGGTCAGGTCAAGGTCAAAACCAACTTGTTTTGTTGCTCTAGCACTTGCTGTGTGGGGTAGTTCCTTGCGCTCATTTTGAATGTTGATAACAGGAACCACATTATACACCATCCATAGACTTGCTAATGGTCATAATAGTTCACTGACATAGAATGACCTAGGCCAACATTTTGTTTCTAGGAACATTCTGTTTAGTGTAATTTTTGTTGCTCATCCAAATGTGAAATTCAAAGCACTCTTGCATGATTGTGATCACCATGATTTTGAAAAGGTCAAACAAGGTCGCTGACCTTAGATCAGTATGTGATTATTTGCCTAAAACAGTTATCTAGGTTCTAGGGGACTTTTGGAGACCAACCTGGAATTTGTCCTTGTATGACCTTATTTGACCTGAAGCTCATGACCTAGGAACCTCAAACTGTGACCTAAGTGAGTTCACATACAGGTCAACACACCCTGTGAATTTGGTGTCTGTAGCTCTCTTAGTTTCTAAAATCTCAGTGGGGTCAATTTGACCCCCAACCCCACCCGAGCAAAGAATATCCAAGCGGCCACCTGGGCGGGTGTTATGGGAAGCATAGCTCAATAGACTTTTATGAAAAATTGCGTATTCTGTGACTAATACTCTGTTCATCCATTCCAGACTATATTTCGCTAGGTGTCAGCTATCAATAATGGGCATCTTGGAGAAGATCGCCGAGATTGAACGGGAAATTGGTCGGACACAAAAGAATAAAGGTATGATTTTGGTGATGTGTGGTGCTAGTAGACAATTTCGGCTTTGAAAGTCACAGTGCATGCTGAACTGAAGACGCACTGCTATGTAAAAAAAAGTGTGACAAGTGCCTGGCATGGTGGGCAGATATTTTTGGGTGTATTTTTGGCATGTGCTGCTGTTGTTATGTTCTATTAGCACTGCAATCTCATCCCAGCTACGGGATAGATTGAACCTGGTTATGTGTTATCTTGTGCGATAAGCTAATTACTGGCATGGTAGTAGAGAGCATGTGTCATTGACCAGATGCTCTGTTCCATCAGCCACTGAGTATCACCTTGGATTACAGTAGAGAGCACGTGTCATTGACCAGATGCTCTGTTCCATCAGCCACTGAGTATCACCTTGGATTACAGTAGAGAGCATGTGTCATTGACCAGATGCTCTGTTCCATCAGCCACTGAGTATCACCTTGGATTACAGTAGAGAGCATGTGTCATTGACCAGATGCTCTGTTCCACCAGCCACTGAGTATCACCTTGGATTACAGTAGAGAGCATGTGTCATTGACCAGATGCTCTGTTCCATCAGCCACTGAGTATCACCTTGGATTACAGTAGAGAGCGCATGTGTCATTGACCAGATGCTCTGTTCCATCAGCCACTGAGTATCACCTTGGATTACAGTAGAGAGCATGTGTCATTGACCAGATGCTCTGTTCCATCAGCCACTGAGTATCACCTTGGATTACAGTAGAGAGCATGTGTCATTGACCAGATGCTCTGTTCCATCAGCCACTGAGTATCACCTTGGATTACAGTAGAGAGCATGTGTCATTGACCAGATGCTCTGTTCCACCAGCCACTGAGTATCACCTTGGATTACAGTAGAGAGCATGTGTCATTGACCAGATGCTCTGTTCCACCAGCCACTGAGTATCACCTCGGATTATTGAAGGCCAAGCTTGCCAAATACCGGACCCAGCTTCTGGAGCCACAGGGGAAGAAGGGAGAGAAGGGAGAAGGTTTTGACGTGCTCAAGTCCGGTGATGCTCGCGTTGCTTTGATTGGCTTCCCCTCAGTCGGCAAGGTGAGATAAAACAGTTGTTTTGTGCTAGCATCGGTTTGGTGACGTGTCGTAGCAGCTCTGACATGGAGCGTGTCAATCTCTGCTGCCTATCAAAGATCAGGAACATGAAAAGAAGAAGAAACCGAAGCTAATCCAGCAGAACCGAGGCCTCGAAGCATAGCTCCGCGGCTGTAAGCTAAATGTGTGGGCCGCGTGACAAACGTTCAAACATGCTAAAGTCAGTCTCTAAGCTATGACTCACGCGAAAAATCACAAAAATGTGAAAAAGGCATATCAGTTGAGGTGCTTGGTGGGTTTTGTATTCAATTAAAAAACTAAGAACCTCTGCGCTTAACCATGCACTCAATTAAAAAACTAAGTTCAATTAAAAAACTAAGAACATCTGCGCTTAACCACGTCAAGTCCTTTCCGGTGTTATTCGAGTGCAGTAACATAGGAAGTGCGTGCAGCGTTTGACTGTTTTTTTTTTAGCAAGAAGTATAGTACGTTATCTTAGGCGCTTTGGAACCACCTGAGGTGCCATCGAGCTCGATTATGCTTCAACGTGTCCCGACGCTGGTGTGTGAATCCCCCGCTTCCGTTGGCTAGCGAAATGTTCGTATTTGAGGCCCTGTGTTCGTTCCAGTCCACCCTGTTGAGTACTCTCACCAAGACCCAGTCGGAAACGGCGAGCTACGAGTTCACCACACTGACCTGCATTCCGGGCGTCATCGAGTACAATGGCGCCAACATCCAGCTGCTTGACTTGCCCGGCATCATCGAGGGAGCCGCGCAGGGCAAGGGTCGCGGCAGACAGGTCTGTGCATACGTGTGGCTGTGGACGTGGCTACAGTCGGCCTGGCCTGGGCTGGCTCACCAGTCGCCACTAAGCGCCGATCTGGCTCCTATTTGTGGTCAGTGGTTCGCTCCAGAAAACAGGAGCGTCGTGGATGTCAGCATTTTGGTGATAACGCGGTCGCCACTTGGGCCTGACACGTGACATTATGCACTCGCAATTCCAGTGTGTCATCATGCTTGCGTGGGCTTTGGCGGGCGCCAGGGGAGACATGTGGGTTGGTTGGTTGATCTTTAAGTTGGCGGTTGGCTGGACACTTGCCAGCAGTTTTGAGTGGATCATACATTGTTCACTCGCGCGTCAGGTGCCTAAATCGTGCTAACTGTAACAACTCTCAGTTTGTTGACAGCAGCTTCTGTCTGCTTGACCGTCAGTCGTTCGCTTTGTATGCTGTGCCAGTGGTCAGCCGGCCAGCTGCCTGCAGTGGCCTCCGTCAGTCAGCTCGTGTGCCCGCCAGCTGTTGTGCCGACGGTGCCGTCCGCGCACCGGCCGACCCCTGACGCGCGCCTCGCTCGCGTCCAGGTGATCGCCGTGGCTCGGACGGCCGATCTGGTCATCATCATGCTGGACGCCACCAAGTCGGAGGTGCAGCGCGAACTGCTGGAGAAGGAGCTGGAGGCCGTCGGCATCCGACTCAACAAGCCGAAACCCGGCATCTACTTCAAGGTGGGTGGGCAGACACGATGGACGATTCGGCGGATCGTTGTCGGTGTCCGTTCGTCCCGTTCCGTGTCATGTGTGATAGGGTTCTTGCAGTGTGCCTTTTTGGTGTACTGCTCTTCCACTACGACACCTACGACAAATGGTTCTAAATGTGTGGCGCGCAACCACTGTCTGAGGATCACGTTGCTTTTCCGGCGCATTTGCGATTTTGTGGCCTAGAGACGTCTCACTCAGCTTCTGGCGTCGACAGTTCAGCTTTGAGTTTATTAGTATGACTTCCAGTTTTAGTTTTATTCCACTTTATGTTTTGCTCGTGTGTCATTTATACATGTTTGGTGTTCACAGCAAAAGAAGGCTGGAGGAATCCATTTCAATGCCACCTGTAGTCTATCGAAGGTTGATGAGAAGCTAGTGCAAGTTATACTCCACGAATACAAGATATTTAATGCTGAGGTCAGTTTTTCGAAGAGAGTTGTAAGTATTCTACATTTTCATACGCCTGCGCATTACGAATGTCGATCATTCTGCTGTGTTTGTGGGAACAGTGTGCGCACTTGTGACGCGGCATTCATTAAGATTCTGGAACTGTTCCGTTCAATATGATACCACGAGTGTGCCTCAGTTAATATGACCTTGAAGTTGAGGGCGTATTCCGCGAGCGGTGTTGCTATGTTAGTGCTACGGCAAAAATTTCTGCCGACAGGAGTGCTACATCAGTTATATGCGACATGAGGTTGTTGCAAAAGCTTGTAAATACTTAACTTAGACGCGAAATTACTTCTGCTGCAAAGACGCACACACGAAATGAATGCTACACGACAACATTTAGACTTCAAAACATATGCGTGCATTACGTCCGCCGCAAACACTTGAATAGCCTTTACTTATTCTCGGCATTACTTCTACCGCAAAAACTCATCACAACATGAGTTATATGCGACAAAACTTATTCTGCAAAAGCTTATGCCACCTATCACTTCTAAAGCGAAGACTTACACGGTCTGTACCTGGACGCGACATCATTTCAACTACGACAAGTTAAAGGTAACACTAGTGCCACACAACAAAACTTGAAAAGTAATATAACGAACTGTAAAAAGCCTATGTCCGTCATCATAATTACTGTAAAAACCTATTAAGTTTTCATATGTCAGTGATTTTACTTATTCGGTCGGTACTGATGTAAGACGTTTGTGCAATAAGAGACAGGCTGTAATCCACAAGTTACACCCATCAGTGCTCTAGCCCATAGCATAAGCCTCTCCAAAATCATGGAGGGAGCGAACACATGGCTGGTATGCTATGGCATGGCACTTGGCTGGGCGAAATCACACTGCAGATGCCCATCCATCGTGTCGATATATCATTGCCGCTGTAAATATGGTGATTGACAGATCCACAAAGACAATAGTTATACACGATATTTTTCTGCTGAAAAACGCGTGGTGCACTTTCGTAGTGTGGCAGATCAAGTTTGGGGACTCAGCAGGGAAAAGCGGCCAACCTTGCGCCATAATACATGAAACACGGCGTTTGCCCCGAATATGATTCACCTTCCTATGGCAGATGAGTGGAGGATGAGGTCCACGGCCGGGCAGGAAATTACACTCCTGGCGTTTTCGCTGAAACTCAATATTACTTTTACCAAAAAATAGGGCCAGTCTTGATATTTGGCTACCCAAACTGCAGTCTTTGCCCATATGTCAAGCGCTGCAAACAGTCACACAACATAATGAATAAATAACTCTTCGGACCAGCGTCGCAAACACGTAATTGTAGTGTTGCCCATTAGGGGCTCCGGCCTTACCTGCGAATTGTTCCCATGCCTCTGATAGGTGTCCACGCATTTTGCACCCCACAGCAAGGTCAAGCGTTACAAATAATGTCTTGTAAACGTAAAGGCTATGCAAGTTTTTGCAGTAAAAGTCATGGCAGTCATGCATTATGGAAGGATAAGTTGTGTCGTGTAGAACTTACGTCGCATGTAAGTACTTGCGGTTGAATTAATGTCGTGTATAAGCAACGACTGTATAAGTTGCCGCAGTGGAGGTAATGACGGGAATAAGTTTTTGAAGTAGTTTAGTCGTGTGGCACTGATGTCGCGTATAATTATTTGCAGTAGGAGCAAGGTCGTATATAGATAACGACTGTCTATGTTTTTGTAACAGAAGTAATGAAGAACCTAAATTTGTGAACCATAAGTTTTGTTGTACAGTCTCAGTGTACAAGAGTTTGTAGTAGAAGTAATGTGTATAAGCAATGACTGTATAAATGTTTGCCGTAGAGGTAATGGTGAGTATAAATTTGTACGATATAAGTTTTGTCGCGTAGCACTTGTGTCGTTATAAGTACTGTCAGTAGAAGTTACGCCGTAGGACCACCGCTTTTGTTGTAGCACTTTGTCGTGGAATCTCGTGAGCTCCGCAGCTTTCGCTTGCGTAGCTGAAGGGAAGGGCATATCACCATTCTCTTGAATGTTTTTGCCGTTATTGTCATATCGCTCGTCAGAAATTGTCCAATCCAAGCAAACTCAGCACATCTGCCATTTGCGCGCTCGACTTCAGGTGCACATGTTGATTCGGCGTAACATGAGTGCATGTGTCACGTCCTTCCTGAAATCGTGATCCAAATCTTGAGGTCCGCCTCTGAGCGTGCCGCTGTCGTCGGTCTGAACGTCACTGCTGTCCTGGTCTGGACCACGTGACCTGTCGTGCCGCAGGTGATATTCCGCGAGGATTGCACGGCCGACCAGCTGATCGACACCATCTCGGACAACCGGGTGCACCTGCCCTGCCTCTACGTTTACAACAAGATCGATCAAGTCAGCATCGAGGAGGTGGACCGGCTCGCGCGGCAGCCCAATTCGGTGGTCGTCAGGTGGGTCGTGCTGCCCGGGGGCACGAGGCTCAGACGGCTCCCGGGGCACGGGGCTCAGACGGCTCCCGTGGCACGGGGTTCAGACGGCTCCCGGGGCACGGGGCTCAGATGGCTCCCGTGGCACGGGGCTCAGACGGCTCCCGTGGCACGGGGCTCAGACGGCTCCCGGGGCACGGGGCTCAGACGGCTCCCGGGGCACGGGGCTCAGACGGCTCCCGGGGCACGGGGCTCAGACGGCTCCCGTGGCACGGGGCTCAGACGGCTCCCGGGGCACGGGGCTCAGACGGCTCCCGGGGCACGGGGCTCAGACGGCTCCCGGGGCACGGGGCTCGGACGGCTCCCGTGGCACGGGGTTCAGACGGCTCCCGTGGCACGGGGCTCAGACGGCTCCCGGGGCACGGGGCTCAGACGGCTCCCGGGGCACGGGGCTCAGACGGCTCCCGGGGCACGGGGTTCAGACTGCTCCCCGGGGCACGGGGCTCAGATGGCTCCCGTGGCACGGGGTTCAGACGGCTCCCGGGGCACGGGTTCAGACGGCTCCCGGGGCACGGGGTTCAGACGGCTCCCGTGGCACGAGGTCGAACAGAGGATATTTAGTTTGATTAGATTTAAGTCCAAATTATTCTTTTGGTATTTTGTCACAACATTACACCCATTTTTTTGGCAGCCTGAAAGTGTAGTCAGAGTTCGCGATGCGTATGTTTAAGGAACTGGAGCCGCGAGTGGTGGAAAATCGGAAAAATGTAATTTAAGTGGGAAGTTCAGAGCTTTCGTGAAGTACAACGGCGAGCGAAGAGAAGGAAAGAAAGTGAATTGCACTTTGCGTGCAGGCGCGTTTATAAGTGAACTTGTGAAATATGACATATGACTGATTAAGGCCAAACTGCAGGGTGTATCCAGATTTTGTTAAGGGGGAGGGGTTCGGGGATTAGGCATCACTTCCTGTCGGGAGACATCCGTGCCGAAAAAAATGTACACCTAGGGAAGGCCCCCCCCCCATACACACACACACACACACACACACTAGGCTGCGCCTCTGCTGTGCTGCCTCCCCATGTGTGGTATCTCAGCCGTAGCAGACACACGCAGCCATGACACGAAATCCCGTTGGGGGCGGGGGGGGGGGGGGGGCACTTTGGAACCTCGATCCCCGGTAACCTGCGCTGTGCGGAGTTTTGCCGGACTAGAAGCTCGGACAGTTCCCATATTTCAGACAGAACTACCTATGGACGCTCAGTAGGTCCCATCTTGCCATCCTGGGGACCCTCTGTGCGTACGGCGTCCTGTACGTGGCCACAAGAGACGCCGTCGCTTACGGACCCTTAAAGCTACTTGGTGTTCCTTGGCTAGTGAAAGCGGGTGTCCACATGCGGCCGCGGAGCGGCTGCCCAACCGCAGTGAGACGGCTATGGAGCCTCCAACAGTCCCGTGACTTTTGGGGTCACAATCGCAACGCCCCGTGCATCGGTGTCCTGTCCACTAGCGTCGCCCGTCGGACCAGCACCATTATGTACGGCCCGGCGAGGTTGTTTGCCGGCTACCCGTGCAAAGCGACCCAAACCCGGAGAGCATAGGTAAACGGCGGCCCCGGCTCGTCGATTGGCTATACCCCACACCATAGCGATATACGTGGAGGCTGACCGATATTTCTATCGCTAGAGTGAACTGAAAATAGAGGAAAACGTGCGTCATAATTGTATGCATGGTAGCAAGCTATTCTTGGAAGCATTTTGTAAAGGGGCGTTGTGCATGGGCTGCTTGCACCCGACCTGCGCCCAGACACACGCGAGCATACGTGGTGACGGTTATTACATCACCAGGTTCAGGTGTTTACATAAAGCTTAAGCAGCCTTCTCGGTTTCAACAATGACGCGACATATGTTGGCATCAACTTGACCCGACGGAACTACCACTGACCCCAGCGTGTTCTCGTTATTGGAGCTTTACGACGGTTTTTGACTTATCGCGAGCTTTGTTCCGGTTTTCTCGTAAAGGCGTGGTTCCTTTGCATTTGCCGTGTCGTACTAGTCGTGGCTCTTTGGGGCTACTAACCAAAACACGTGTCCGCGACAGCTGCTGGTGTCACAACCGCTGTCGTCATGACAACGGCATGGGGCCGTCGCTGATGAGGGCTGTCGATGCTGTGACGGTACCAATTTTGAGCTGTTTTCACTCGCACATTGCGGGCTCGCGAGCTTACAAGTGGCACCTTTATTGGTATGAATGCAGTCAGTGTAAATGCATGTTTGCGATCGCCACAGCGTGCGGATGCCAATTGCCGAGAAAACGCATTCGTCAGAGTTTGAACCGTACGTCGCCATGGACCATGCGATAATCTGTTTCCCGTTCCCCAAAGCCAATGCGCCTCGAAAATAGCCATTGTGTGGAAAGCCATAAGGAGAAATTAAAGCCATAGTATAACGTTTCGTGAAATTTGCGTGATAATGGTACAATGGTTTCATGTATCAGTACCTAAATAGTGTTTCAGGCTTTCGCTGCATCTATCATGCAAGCGTTTTTACGAATTATTGCGTTGCAAACATCAGATTGAGAATATTGAAACATACATGAGATTTTTTCCTTTCGATTGGCTACTCCAAGTAGAAATTCAGACTAATTCAGGATTTTAAAAAAAAACTGGTGTTATCAAATCGGACGCGTCTGATCTAACAATACGTGCCGTATAAGACGTACAAAAGGTGGCATGCTACCTTGCATGTTTCGATCGCGCGTGTGAGAGCGTTTGACCGTCGACAGCTCTTCCAGTTCATAGACCCCTTTGCAAAGCCACTGACAACGCGTGATCATTCTTGGATGACGGATCCAGTGAGACTGGGTTGCGGAGCTCTCCTGGCTTGTGCTATGCCCCTGATACATCCACCTGCTGCTGCAGCTGCAACATGAAGCTGAACCTGGACTATCTGCTGTTCATGATGTGGGACATGCTGGCGCTAATCCGCATATACACCAAGAAGCCGGGCAGGCATCCAGACTTTAACGACGCCATCATCATGCGGCGAAACAGCTCGGTGGAGCACGTCTGTCATACCGTCCACCGTAGTATCGTGGCTGTCTTCAAGTATGCCTTGGTCTGGGTGAGTACCTAACGCCATCGGACCACCCTGCCTGTTTGCGCTTACCTGGCGACGCTTGCTGTTGATTTACCCGGTCACTCTGCCTGTTTGGGCTTCCCTAGCGACGCTTGCTGCTTATTTACCCGGCCACCCTGCCTGTTCGGGCTTCCCTAGCGACGCTTGCTGCTTGCTTGGGGCTGCTTTGTTGATGCCCGCGGGCGATGTTTGTGTGCTTATGGCCGGTGGAGTTTTGATCCGTCGCTTGGATTGCACACACTGCAGGCCAGGTTCTGCAGTCAGGGAGCGTAGTCTCGCTGAGCGGACCCATGGCGCACCGCACACATCAATCGCGTGGTGCGAGCACACTGGCGCGAAGTCATAATATCATGTCCTTGGACATATCGGAATGAGCAGCACTTGAGGTTCTGATGCGCCGATGTATGCATGCGTCTATATGAGGTGCATCCGACTCATACTGCAAGTATTTGTTTTTAAATCTTTTCGATATTTTGGATTTGCCATTTCACCGTGCTAGCTCCCCTCTCATAGCCATTGTACGTAGCCCCTTCAGTAATATGGCATGATGTTAAAGTATTTGGTCAGTACATGTTTTGATTCATCTGATTTTGTCACGAAGCGTATGAAAGCATATTTTGTTTTACGTTGTAAAAAGTGCGTTACTCAAAATGTTATTTCCTAGCGGGGTTACACAGACTTCTGCGTAACCGCCAGCGCGTTTGCGTAATGCGTTTCACCGCCAGCATTGTCAAAGCGCTGCCCCCAGCGGCGCACTAGCTTCGTTTGGCCGTTCCAGCTCATGGCCTGGCCGCCAGTGCATGTGTAGTGGCCTGTTCTCTTGACATGGAAGTGCCCCCACTGCATGGAAGTGCATGCCCACTCGCGTGCTTTGAACATGATCAAAATTGCATTATTGTGTGGTTTGGTTGACTCCAGTGCACCTTCAAGCTGTCTTCAGCCGCATGTAGGGCGGTAAGCAGGCCCATACATTCGCTGCAGAATATTCATGTGACAGCCTGCAGGGGTGGCCACAGTTTTTCCATGTTGTATCGGCTTTGGAATTGTAACGCCAGTAATCTGTGAGCGAGACTTTTCGATAACGCGTCGTCGGTTGCTTCGTGTGTGCTGGCACAGCGCGATTTAAACATGCGTAAGGTCGTGATTTCGTGTTATGAGAGGTGCCCTCGTCATTCTCGATGTGAATGATGCGTCCAGTGACACTGGCGTTCGGAAGACGAGAGAGCTTAGAGATCCTGTGCCATGTTTGACGATCACCGCCTGCCGCAGGGTCGGAGCACAAAGTACAGTCCGCAGAGGGTCGGTTTGGCCCACGTTGTCGAGGACGAAGATGTCATCCAGATCGTGAAGAAATAGGGCGAGAGGGCGCCTCAGCCGTGCCTTCCGTCTGACTGGGAAACGAAGCGCCGAACCCTGTCTGTGGTATCGCTCTGGGCGTTGGTGATATGTGCGTGGTGCACATGAAAGTTGCGCCGCGGTGTGGTGCGTCAGGAGGCATGTCGTGGAGTCAAGGCGTTGGCGAGCGCCACGCGCAGCGGTGGGTTTAGTCGTGGAAACTGATCCCGTTCATCTCCAGCTGAACTGTCGACATTGTTCTTGTACTTGTGCGAGGACGCTGCCAATGCACGGGGTTCTCAGTGGATGTTTTGTTGGTGCTTGATGCCGTGTCAATAAAAGCCGGGTGGTCAGTGAGCAAAGCGGCCTAGTTTATGTAGAGGATCTGCCAGCGAGGTAGGTGAGCTAAAAAAGTATCAGTGGTTGTAAGAAGAGCGTGCCCCTAGGACGCATTTATTCAAAGCAAAGGCAGATCTGGCCGCTGCTCAGCATGTCATTACTATCTTCTGAGAATATTATTATGTCATTACTAAATTCTGAGATCTGAGAATATTAGTCCTGTGATCCAGCCGTGCTCCACCGAGAAGAAACGATACAAATGGGCTGCGGTCACGTAATCCATGCTATGCAAGTTCGGGGGCAAACAAATACACCTCTGACGCAAATACTTCTACGTCGCAAAGTTTCTAGCGCTACGATTTCTACATGACATGACTTCGAATGCAAGAATTTACCATAAATTTCGGCACGGAAATACGTCAAGCGCAAACACCGACAACTGTGCGCAAAAAGCGACTAAAGGAAAAATTTGTATGACATGAACTTGTTCCTGAAATTTTGGCACTGGAACTTGTAACGCTAACACGTGCTCAGATGTAGGGCCAATTTGACCCCCGTCCCCCGAAGTTTTTCCAGAGTAATTTCTGAACGTCTTGAAGGATTTGCAGACCTGTAGGTGACTGAACAGCACTTCTTTTGATTTAAAAAACGGGTGCACCTTGTAGGGTTATTGACCTATTGTATGTCAGTCAGGCCCCGGCTGTCAACGAATGCAATTTCTAGGGCATTGCTTATTTTGGCGTGACAATGAAGTGCTAGACGAAGCCTTATATCTCTTAGAAGTTTCTTAGACAAACGACTAGATTTAGGATTGCAACAAATGTCCTTGACCTTGGGTCATGAGGGTCAGACCGAGGCCAAAACAAATCTGCTTTTTACTGGAGGGCCTGCTTAATGAAGTAGTTGTTGACGGTCATTTCGAATTTCTTGATAACGGGGTCCGCAACAAACATCTTCCATGGGCACCTCAAAGGTCAGACAGTCACCAATCTGAGACGACTCAGATGCACATATTGTTTAAGGAATATGCTGCTAAGCGTAATCTTTGACGCTTGCCCAAACCTAAACTTAAGCTTGAAAAAGAAAATTAAAACAATCGCTCCGCTCTAAACAACAGCCGAATAATCAATGTAAATGGCATCCGTCTAGTTTCCGTCCGACGTGGTATCCGAACGCGATTTCGGGTAAACACATAAGTTCGTGCTGCGCGAACGCCTATGAACAAGACTATGATGGTGATGGTACGACACAGGTCAGACGTGCTTTTTTGTCACAGGACACAAAACAGCTCATCATCCGTAGTCGTTCCGGTATTTTTCTCAAGGGAAGAAGAAGGGATAAGGTCCTTTAATTTGATGGCTCCTTTTTATCGCCTTTCTTGAAAATTTCTATGATGCTGGCCTGCTTTGCTCTCCCCGGAAAGACACCAGAACTCACCGAGAAGTCACAAATCTTGGTGAGCGGAATGACTAACTCGTTCGAGCACTCGGTGACTATGTGGCCACTGATATTGTCAGTCCCAAAGACCTTGCTGGGACCGACCATACCTATCGCGGATCGCAAGGCTGCCTCAGAGGCTCTCAGCTGGTTCAGTGACTTGACTGGATAGCATGGCGCATGTGGAGAGGTTCGCACACAAATCTTAACAAATTTCAGAACAGAGGCGACAGTGCGAGTGCTGTCACCCGATGCCAGAGTCCGCTCAGAGTTGTACAAAACTGGTGATATGTATGAATTATTCGTAGCACATTTAAAAAAGGCCAGTACCGCTTGGGGATGGTCTTGAAGTCGTCGGTAAGTTTATATAAATTTTGAGAGCATTTGGATTTGAAATCACGTCTCCTGACCGCAAACTCAGCCGCGGTCGCCGCGCCGGGGTTTCTCCGCAGTCGTCGGAAAGCCGCCTCTTTCAGCCGGAGAGCAGCTCGCGCCTCGCAGTCGAGCCAGGGGACAGCCGGCGCCGGAGGGCCACCCTGGGGACGTGGTCGGCGATGGCCGACTCAAGCAGTGTGTGGAAGGTGTCAACTGCTTGGCCAACTCCGACGTTTTCCAGCAGCCCCCGCGGGATCAGTGAGCGACTCCGGCGCAGCCGTCGAAGTCAGACCACAGCCCTCGTAGTCTACGTTCAGAAGACCGTCTCGCACACCGACCTGTGACGGTATGCGTTGGGACAGTACTAGCTCCAGAATGTTCTTTCCTTCAGGAGGCTGGCAGACCCACTGTTTTAGACCCGGCAAATCACACGTGCTGACGAATCGGGTGGTGCGGTTCGACGCTCTCCGCAGGTCGGCAACGGCACGGTCGGCCGCCGGTGTCCAGCATATTTCAGGGAGGTTGAATCTCTGACGATGACGGCTCTGCAGTTCAGCGGATACACTGCTGATCGGGAAGCAGCTATTCGGTCAATCGCAGCGTCGTCGGCGGGAGGGCGGTAACACACGGCCAGAGTCACCGATGCACCCTGCAGCCGGATCAGCAGCATCTTGGTGTTGGCCTGGTCTGGCAGGCGCAGCGGCGGCAGTGTCGTGCTGACATGCAGGCCTCAGAATGATATTGTCTACGCCCTTTTTCGGGCTGTGCAGGCAGTTCCAGTGTTTGGAACACAAAGTTGTCAGTCATGAATAAGGACCTACTACTATCGATCGATTGGTTCTTTAGCGTTAGCCACTATGTATTATTTTCAGCGACATGTGGAATGCAGGTTTGTGGATGGTCTCAGGTTGGCTGTGTACCATTGCCTTGCCTGCTAGCGCCAGTCACCCTTTTTCTGCAAAGATGCGAACACAGCGTTTTGTGTGTTTCATAAACAAAAACGTCTTCATATTTCCTGAGGTGCTCGTTGCTCGCGGTCTGTCACTGCCGTGCTTTAAGATCGTGCGCAGCAGTTTGCAATGACAGAGTACCACCATTAGGCACGCGCTCAACCGTAAATCGTGTGGCAGGCATGCATGCCCATATGCTGTTTATTCTAAGAAAACATGTTGACGAACAAGTCATCAACTGGAGGTGAGGGGCGAGTTTCCATCAGCATTGCTAAGAACGTGGCAAATACCGAGCACGTCAGACAGGATAAGGGCACCTTTGGGAACACCACCTCACACCCATTAAGGTGCCCGGAACTGCTGAATGTGTCAGTGTAAGCTAAATGCACGTTGTATGTGGGCGTATCATGGAAGCTGCCTGGAGGCAAACGAGCCCTTGTAAGTATAACTGTCAGCTAAGCATGCCGACTTTACAGCGGGGGCGCTAACGATGGCCGCACAATGGCATTGACGTAGGCTGCGCGAGGCATTCAGCGATGGAAGCACCCAAACGTTCTGACACAGACAAACGACACATACGGTTCCCACGTTGTCATCTCTCTTTCGACTCCGATTAACAGAGCGGGCGCAAACTCGCGTGAAGGCGCTGCCGGCGGCGTCGACTGACGTCACACGGGGTGTGCGGTAATGGACGGGGTCCGACATCTACGGCGATGCGTGTCAACAGAGCGGACGGCGAGGCGCCAGCGTCGGCGGTGCCCGTCGGCCGAGGTCAGACGCCGGTCAGCGTTCGACCAGGCCAGTCGCAGCCGGCGGCGGTCGGCCGAGGTCAGACGCCGGTCAGCGTTTGGTCAGGTCAGCCGTGGCCGACGGCAGCCATGCCCGGCGCCAGTGTCGGACCGAGCGGCGCCGCCGGGCGGGGCTCGCTCTGGGGCGTGTGGCGTCGCACCACTGCTCAGTTCGTCAGCGACACGTCCGTGGTGGGCGTCAACAACGTTGGCAGGACGGCGCACCCGTTCCGCCGCTTCTTCTGGTGCTGTCTGTTTCTGGCCGGTCTGGGCATCACGCTCAATGATGTGGTCACCCTGGTTGGTAAGTTCTTCCAATACCCGGTCACCACCGGCTTCACCATGAACTACCAGGACAGCGTCACGTTTCCGGCCGTCACTGTCTGCAACCAGAACAGCGTCATGTGTCACAAGCTGCTGGATAAGCTGTACGAACTCCCTGATAGCGCTCCCTTGCAAAAAGTCGTAAGCCTCTCATACTGCATGGAAGCCCTGGAGAAGAACTGCATGGTCTTGTACAACTTGTCCGTCACCTACACATTCATACCGAGTTTTGTTCGAGACTCCACCTGCTTCACAAACAGCACCGACAACTGCTGCCGGCTGGAGGATTTCGGCTCCGGGCCGGGAGCGGTGAACGTCAGCGGTCTGGTGGGCCTGCTCAACTGCAACTGTCCGGGCAAGCAGCCGGTGACCTCTGGCCCAGACCAGCAGTCGGGGACCCCTGGACCGGCGCGCCGGAGGCGGAATGTCGGCGATCCAGCCGCACCATCTCCGGCAGAGCCCGACACGCAGCAGGTAATCGGGCAGCGAGCTGTGACGTCACCACGCCCGCAGGCGCTTGAGCTTCGACGCGTTTGCTGGTCGAAAATGGCATATTTCCCAGGTGGGAGTGTGAACATTACCGCAAGCCTGCGGCGGCAAAAATTATCACCAGTTGATTATGCAGTGTTTTAATAATAGTGTTCTAATGATATGGCTAATAGTGTTTTAATCTTTTTCTAGCCTGACCTAGCCTAACCTAGACTTACCTAACCCTACCTAATTCACTTACATACTATTTTAATACTACCGAGTGTATGGGGCTGGTGCGACCGAGCCCGTTTTTCCGCAAGTGTCTCAAAACGTCCGGCAGAGCGGTGTCGTGTTCGGCTGACCGAGTGTGATGCGCAACTTTGTCGCGACGTTTTCCACTTCTGATTTGGGAAATTTCTGGTGACTTTTTCAGATCAACAAGCCATAGTGGGGAAGCTTGCCTTTCTCTGCGCCCGTAGCTCCCAACAGTCAGTCAATACGCCACTTAATGAACGATGAATTTGTTTGCAGGAGGATAGCGTTGGAGCAACGTCCCGCAGGCGCCGCCGGGCTGCATCCAGAACACCTACTGACCCCACCACCAAGAAGCCCAAGGATGACTCGGAGTGAGTGACATGGACCGTTTGCCGGGAATTTTGAGTACAGCAATTGTCCTAGCTTCTTATATGCGTGGATGTTTTCTAGGCCTGCGGTATCCCGGGGGTGGAAGGTGCGCGGCATATAACAAACTTCTTTTTGGTGCCGTTAAACGTCTGTGGCACTTACTGTGTCCATTTGAAAAAATCATGCTGGATTTGGAGGACGCGGGTATGGTCATTTCACCTCTGACAGAGACCTAAGAGAGTCAATTGTGACCATGTCCAGTTTTCCTGAAATATCGACGAGTGTTGCACGGGCTTATCAATTTTGGAGCAATGTTCGTGCGACGTAAGCGATCGTTCTGAGCCTGAATACATGCAAAACATTCGCAAAGGCTTCCACAGAATAGGAATTCAGCATGACTGGGGCCATCCGGTTTGAAACGCGCAAGTGCACGTTTGGTATCACTGAACGTGTTGAAGAGGGGCAATTTCGTCTTTCCAGAATGGGCGAGGACGACATTTACGAAGACAAGATGGCCTTTTATGGCAGCTTTGCAAATCTTTCTGAGAGCACTCGTAAAGCCATCGGACAATCATTCAGCGAATTTATCAAGAGCTGCAGCTACAACGGAAAGGACTGCCTCAATGAAGCGTAAGCACTATCGAAGAATTGCTTTTCAGTTGAATATGTACAGAGCTCTCCTAATCCATTCGGTTGTCATGTTCTCCGTCAAGATACCCATTTGCAAGTCGTAAAAATTATAAAAAGTGTTTGCTTTAGCCTGGGTCCAGCGGCGGATGAGGGAAGAACGAGTATTCGGTAGTCATACTTTCACTACGACAGAATTTGAGTTCAAAGTGTTACCAGTTACAAAACACAAAATTGTAACCTTTCATTTGTTCAGAATTCGTTGGAGAAGAAGGTTTCTGCTAAGACGACGGTTTTTGCGTGTTCTGAGAGAAAACATTCCAGTCCCTGTAATGTCCTTACAGTTTTTGCTTGCGTCCGCAGCGAATCTGATAAAGGGGCCGAGCCCGCTATGAATTGACAACAAACGTTCAAGACATCTTGTAACAACAAATTACACTGGCGGCCAGGGACGTCGATCTCTATGTTTTGTCGGTATTCTAACCCCAAATGTTTGAGAAAACATGAGAGCATATATAACATACATATATATATATATATATATATATATATATATATATATATGTATAATATTATGAATATGTTGCTACTAGAATATGACAAAAGTTGAGAAAAACGAAAACAATGGCAAACAAAACTACACAAATTTTGTCGTCTCAGGGGATCAATCGCGGAACCTGCCTGCTATGTGCTGAAGGAAAGGCCTATTTGACAAATGAAAAACCCGCCATCTGGCAAAACAGAATGGGCTGTATCCGTCGCGAGACGCACGTTTGGGGAGGATAGGATAATGTATCCTCGAGTTCTCCCCTGCTCGCCCCACCCCCAAGCACACAGACACACACACACACACACACACACACACACACACACACACACACACACACACACACACACACACACACACACACACACACACACACACACACACACACACACACACACACACACACACACACACACACACACACACACACACACACACACACACACACACACACACACACACACACACACACACACACGCACACGCACACACACACACACACACACACACCATCGTTTTCGCAGATCGATGGCACCGTTGTGGGCCATTAAGGTCGGTCTAAAATAGCACTATTACACCTTTTGACATCATACTGTTGTTGGTGTCTGAGCCTCTTTTGTGACGACGCACGATTATGGTCTGCGCAAGCTCGCGTTATCGGGAAGTAATTAACGTAATGAACGCTGCCTTTTGGGTTAGGAACCCTGGTCTGGGTGTCCCAAAAGGTGTCGAGGATTTTCAAAGTTCATTGAATGCACTTTGTTCTAGATCCATAAGTTTTCCAAGCCAAAGTAACAAAATGGGTCAAATTAACACTTAAAATACGTCTCCTGATAACTCAAGACAGGGCTGAATAGCTCTCGGAAATTTTGACCACGAAGAAGCTGGTGGGTATTGACGCATACTCCATGTAGTAAGTCATGTCAAGCCGATTGAATGACGGCGGCCGTTGCATTGTTCCGTTCGGCTTCACCAGGCAGGCAACAAACTACATCAAAGAAGAGCGCATCATCGGAAAAACCCTCGGGAGGTTGAAGGTTTGAGCCAGATAGGCTCAAACCGCATGACAATTAAAAGGTTCAAACTCGTCACAAAATCCAAATTTTCCTTAGATCACTTGTGACGAAAGTTGGATGGGACCACTCTGTGGGTTTTGAAAGACTGGTAAGATCTGGCAAAAGCTAAAAGGCCGGCAAATCTTGCGGACAACAGACAATAATGGTGCTGTTCACAAGTCTGTGGATTAAGAGGTTAAGAACAAGGAACATGTCTCTCGAGTTTTTCAGATCTGGGCATAACGCTCATTGATGTTGAATGTCAAGGAACGGGTCGCAAACCTCAATGTCCCCTCTCCAGTTCCTATCTCCTTTTGGAGCCATTGATAGAGGAAAAACATAGCGAGTAACTTCGGATTATCCTTCGTTCCGTGTGGCTGACTGATAAACGGAAAGGCTTCCAGTAGCTGATGCGAACGGTCGGCTCGTGAGGTATCCGTCAGCGCCAGGGGTGAAAAAACTTCTGATTTACAGGACATGATTAGCGACAAAAACTGACACCTTTGGAAACCAACTGGTGACAAAATTGCGAAAATGCAAACAAATGTCAGCCGATCAAACCATATTACAACAGACCGTCCCAACTAAACGAAACTCAAAACTTAGTATTGGTCTGTACTTGTTAACACCTGTAGCGTGAGCATGTGTAGAACACATGCCAAAACGATGACGTTTCGCTTTATGAGTAAGTTGAGCCATGCGATGCTCTCAAACATAGTAGTTTTAGGATAGTTTTTAGGGGGTGGCAGAAATATACCACAAACTATACTATATCAGTGCTGACGTCGCAGATCAGTGTTTTTCACATGTTTTTCAGCCGAGACTCACTTCACAGACTTAACAGTATAAAATGCCGCATAACTAGGCTTCTTACCAGTCGTGAGAGTCGTGGCTGGCCACAGCATTTTGCGGCGAACGTGATCAGTCTGCTACGCAACGTTTTAAAGCGTCATGCCATTTGAGATAGTTGGGTTCGATTGATCGCCACGCGGTTATGCATCATGTTCAGTGCAAGACTGTAGGCTGCTGTTGGTTGCGTTTATATCGTGAGAAGCTGTCGGGCTGGAAGAACGTAGCTAATCATCAGCTTTTTTATGTAATAGCGTTAAAACTCCTGCCGATCTAGGATTGTCGTTTGTGGATACCTGAGCTGTAGCTTCAAAGGTAGATGGAGGACGATGGAGCGACAATTGTCAGGGATTCATCCAGGGCTTCCTGCTGCTGTGAGGAACAGCGGCTTTAAGGTAAGAGGCCGAGCATCGCTGGTGTTGGTCCCTCACGTTCCCCGTTGTATCGCTGACTTCACATACTGATCGGGGGACAGACGTAAAATAAGACGCTCTTCATTGTCATCGCACAGCATATAAAGCTAAATGAAGGCGCTAGAGGTGTTCCAAAATGCCGTTTGCATCTGTTTATATCAACGTTGCATGGGTTTTGCTTTAAATAATTGGGATTATGCTAAGATGTGCGAGTTCTACATCGGTAATGATTGTGCGAAGATAGTGGAGGTCGCCAGCGCTTCCAGCTAATTGCACGATGACGTCTCAAAACCAAAAGTGATTTTTTCTTGTCAGGCGCTTGAAGAACCATGTTACCGGTAAATGTACGGCTACAGGGATGTAGTTTTGTAAAGTGCGTAGGGTTGAGGGATGGAGGTGGGAGGCAGGAAACATGGTCGAGGCTGCCTTTGGAATGTACTTAAAACAGTTTTCCACAGATTTGACGCACTTCCTTTCATCAGTTGGGAGCAGGGGTACAGTTTCTCAATATTAGGTTGAGGGTGGAACCCAAAAAAATGTGAGCAACGAAAAATAGTGCTTAAGAAATTATGAATAAAGAGGGAAAACTGCATCCATGGTTAGGACGCACGGTCTCCTCTCCTTAACTGAATAGGAGGCTGCACACCTCTAGGCTGGTTATGTCAAGTATGCCTTTCTTTCATAGCTTTAGAAGTCCAGTCTCAACCATCACTCAGTGTTTGATGGCCAGAAAATAATACTTGAGTGCAAATGAGCGTCCAAAACAGAATCTGTGGCTTATTGCATTTATATTTATATTGCAACGGTTTCTGAAAGATATGGCTCCAGTTGAGAATTTAGACGATTCCAAATTTCGTCGGTGACAGAAAAGGCACTCTTCTCATCCCTGGTCACCGGTACGTCTTGAAGTCCGTCAACAAGTCATGGACAGTGGATTTGCAATAGTACAGGATTGCGGAGGACGCTCTGTGTAAATTCAGATATTTCTGGATACAAATCGGATATTTTCGCATTACACGGTCTTGTAAGGAACCTATATTAGAGTCCAACGGTACCGATCTGTATTATTTTGACAGGGTGAAACGTTGCGAAAATTGAGGAATAGGTTTAGACACCATGTAATGATAAGTTTTGGGATATCGTTTCATGGCCTTGACTATTTCACTGATGAAATAAAGGATTCATTCGCAAACGTTAGAGCACAAAAAGACAACTGCCGTTCTACAAAATGAAGTAGGCGGAGATCGTTGAGAAAATACGTCTAGAGGGTCAGGTAAGGTTTCCTACGAGGATCCCTCGACTCAACCCTCAGCCATTTACACAACCGACGCATCTCTTAGAATCTGCTGAGGACAGATATGGCAAGGCATCCAACACATTCTAGAGCAGTGGGAAAACAATGTGCGCTGCACTGATATTTGGGAGACCAATTACGTCACGCTTCGTTCATCCCAGCACTGCTTTGTTTCACAGTCGATTCTACCACGTTGCATGCATTTCCCGTTTGTGCTTCATTAGTCACGAGAGATGACGCAACAATCAATCGGTGGGCGAGAGTTCAAAGCGAGCAAGGTCCCTTGAATTGCGTTCGCACGATCATCGAGTTTCCCAAAACAGTCGTGCGATTTAAAAGTGCGACACAAATCATTCGTCAAGGACATCCGAATCGATCTAAATCAGCTGGAATAGAATGGCTGGTACACTCCCGTTGCAAATAACATAAATTGTGTTGCAGATATCAGAGGTGGCTTAAATCCGCGGCACCAGTGTAAAGATGATTACAAATTACAGCAGAAGAACCGGCCTCAGATATCAGGGAATGGGAAATTTATGTTCGTGAGAATATCTGAAGTTAAATTCCCTTTCACTAGAAACCACATCAGGTCAGCCAATACCTCCACCTGGTTCTGCACAACAACGTTTTAAATGAAGTATGCCAAGTTTTTGTCGTTTTTGTGTTTTTCACTCGTGTTTTGATCTGGCGTGTCCAATTTAGTCGGTGACACCAACTTTGCAACGTTTTCCTCTTCAGCTCATAATTTGGATTTAAAGTAGCCGTTTTGACGGGATAAATGTCTGGCCTCCCTGTCCACTGCTATGAAAATAGTAGTTTGTATTTGCCTTGTTTTCACATCATGTGCGTCATGTGTTGTTTGCAGCGTCATTAACTGGTCAAAATAGCTGCACTAAGTGGTGTGAGAGCTGGGAATACTTTATTTGGCGACACCGATATACAAATGGGATTTTGATATCATCCGAGCTTAACGAAACCACATAGTGTGGCTTTGATCACCCCCTATGGCGTTTAGCATATAGCACTTCGAAGCCCACGTTGGCTTTGGGAAACATTGCTCACAGGGATTCTCAGTTCGTTGCAAGGCTAATCACATAAACACGTAAGTGTGCATGTTGATGGGTGGGGGGTGGGGGTCAGGACATTTTCGGCTGCCGCTGTTGGTATACGTCCCTGTCTGCTACTGCACGTTCTTGCTGGTGCGCCTCCCTGGTGCCCCCGGGGGATGCCTCTGCACACGCTTCTCCCGAGGGCAAAATTCATATGGGAGCCCAGCGATCAGTCTACAAGCTGATGGTGTTTGCTGCACGGCTCGGCACATGGGAACTTCGGTACTCCCCACATCAGCCCACACGTACGCACAAACACATGTAAACCACAGAGCTGGGATGAAGCGCATGACCAGCTAATGGGCGGGATGGCAGGGCCATCCGGCACCATGCACGGATGTCTCCTCGTGCACGGTTGAGTACCCTTGATCGCGTTATACCACCTCTACCGCTTGTATGGCGGTGATATACGAAAGGAGTAAAGACGGAACCGGATGCATTTAGCCCAATTAGCTGCCCCCGTGCAATCGCCGAATTACACTGGCAGAGGTATGTAGGATATTACCCCAGGGAGTTCCCTCGTCCTGAACTAGTCGACAACAGTCTTCATGTGTTTTCGGCGCCTTGTCACATTGGCTTCAAACCTACCCATTCGCAGGTGTCCACATTTTGCCACCCACCCCCGGCAGGCATATGGGTCGCGGTCCCTCCCTTCCCCCCCCCCCCCCCCGCCTTCTGTATTGCACTAAATTGATACGTCTGCTCGACGCCTCAGTGAATTGAAATAAGCTGCATTCCATTCCTTTGAAACATATGCATATATGTGAAAGCCACGCTTATCCTGCATTTAAAGCGTATCAGACCAATTTGTTATCAGCCTGGCCCCGACACGGCTACTGAGCCGACCACGATGCACCTAAGCTAGACGACGCTTGTTCCCTCACCTGACCTCCAGGGTGATGACTCACTATTCGGATGACGTTCCCTCGTACCTCGTTCACAATGAGACCGCCCACCGCTCCTTCGACCACGCTCGCAGCACTGCGCTGCTGCACGCGCGTCTTCGGCGGCGCTCCGTACAGTAGGGGACGTTGCCTCCGGTGTTTCTGCGCCCCTAGGTCTTACAGTCTCTCCGACCGGCGCGCTTCGGAGACTTGGCCTGACCAGTCTGTTCGGCGACTTAGCCCCCTGTCGCCCTTCCTATGAGCGTCGATGTTGTGGTCTCCTTCCCTACCGAACGTCCCGTCACGAACGGCTCATAAAGCCCATCGTGAACCACGTCGAGAGAGGACGGACAATGCCCCGATCACTCCCGGCGTATTATTTACCGATCGATAGATCCAGGTGCCCCGGTGAATAACCCTGCGTCCCGAGCGGTCCAAACTGGTCACTGGCCGTGGCATGAACTGCGCCCCTTTATACTGTTACGCTTGAGACCAAGTGAGGAACGAAAAAATACGAGTAGACCGCCTCCTTGCCCGAAAACAAAAGTCGCGTTTCTACAAGTCGCGTTACCCTTCAAGCATTTATCTGCGTAAGAGTAAAACTGCAGTCGTCTGGCTTCCCCTGAATCGTGAGTACAGACCAGCTGCATTGCTCGGGCGAGTTCCGCGCTTACCACCCCTCGCGGCTATTACCAGTTCTGTGTCTGTCAGTCAGGTGAAAGTTTTACTAGCTGGACCAGGCGACACATAAAACAAAGTGAAAAGGAAGTCTGGTCGGAAGAAAAATCCGCGCACGTGCTCCCAATGGGTTCAGTCGGAGTTCTACCGCCGCGAGTTATCGGAGCACACCAGAAAAAAAACAGCCGACGAACAAACCAACGGACACCATAGCCGCATAAACCTTTCGTGAGCATACGGACGCGGCCCGGTCGCTCCACCCGGCCGCGATGCAGGACCGGCGGGGGCTGTCGTGAGCTGGCATATATTCCTACGGCCTCCTCCAACGGCTAGTTCAAGACGGCCGCGGCGTAGTTGAATGAAGGAGTCGCTGTGCTTGAGCGGTCTCGACCACTAAGTCTACCCTTGCAGTGCTCGGCCGCTCGCATACTGCGAGTGTTTCTCGTGTTCTATGCTCTCTCGTCGGAAACCCGCCGGCTGACCCGTAGCTGTCTAACCGTAGACCTCTGGAACACTGGTGTTCCCGCGCACGACGCTGGCCGAAGCAGGTGGTAGCGCTGTGCCGCGAGCTGCGGGCTAGCTGCGCCACCTTAGGCGCGGGTGCTCCATTACTGTCCCGATCGGATCACCTCCAGCTTTGCTTCAACGTTAGACAGTTCAAACGCAACCCATCAGTTACATTTACAACGTCGTCGGCACATCGTCGTCAGACGCCACATCCAATCCACTTGTCTTGACTACCCGTTTCCAACCCTGATACGTCCATAGCAGGACACAGGTCCGGCGATGGATACCGCCACCGACGCATCGTGCCCCCCCCCCCTTCTCCCCATCCTTAATTATTGGATCGCAGAACCCCCGCCTATCGCCCCGTGCTGCACTGCCGGGGGGGGGGGGGGGGGCAGATGGCCAGCGCGCTCTGTTTTCTCTGGTTACACAAAAGGGAAGAAGTGTGTTATGACCCGCTCCCTCCCGGTGGGGAAGGGCCAGGGGACAGTTTCGCAGTGCACAGTCCTCCATGGTTCGGTCGGGACGGGGATGATAGCTCGGGCACTCACATTGTGCGAGTCGTCGCTGCCGTCTCGTTGCCCACGGTGCAGGAAGTCGAGGCCGCATGGTCGAGACGCCCAGCGGCCAAGTACATCAGCTTCAGGTACACGGCCGCTGCCACCCCTCGGGTGCTTCCCCTGGTCTCTCCTGGACACTTTCTGTTTCCCTGCCTGGCTTGATGTTTTGACGCTTTCCAAGTTATGTGTAATTGGGTCGCTCTGTCCTCGTTTCTGTATTGTGGATGGGCCGGCGTGCCCTACTTCCCGGGTCCAGCGAGACTCGTGCGTCGCGTCAACAGCGGCGACTGCACGTGCCTTCCCCTTTGACCCAGCTCCCACGCGGCGCGGCGCCCCTAACACTAGTTCGTGAGACGACTGCGCCGTCACAGCGAGGTTCTGGAGAAGAGGTGACGCTTCGCTATTTTCCGCCCGTGATCGGGCGTCACGCACCTGTTAATCCCGCCGGCGGCAGATGTTTCGCTTCGACGTGGCGGTCTGGCTCGTAACTAGGGCCGCCGTCACGCCAGATCCGGGAGCGGCCGATGCTTTGTTGCCCCCGGCCGGTCGTGGCGGTGCTTGATCTTGCTGATCTCCTCAACATCAGGTGCCCTTCTCTTGTTGTTGATCGATTGGCTGCAGGTTCGGCCGGCTCCGCGCTCCCTTCCCAGACTCCGCTCGGCTTAATAGCCTTGTCTGGTTCGGGGGCTCTGGCCCTCGCCAGCTTACTTGCTGCCCCGACCCGTGATAAAGCTTCATCGCCTCCGGACGGGTGGTGAAGAACATTCAAGATTATAAAACTGTATCCCTACAAGGCAAGCAGTTTTGCACAGCCATGTACATTACAGGCTTATACCAGTCATCCAATGCGCTTCTAGCTAAATGGCTTTCGCCATTCGCCGTGCCAATCACAAACGTTTATTTCTATTGAAGTCACTGATACCCATAATTGGCGAAATGCGTTTAGATATCCACATCTGCGGTGTACCAAGACCCCGATTGTCGGTATTCGCGGGCACCTTTTGCTGTTTATCAAGCACATTTGTATGTTAAGTTTGCTCAATTTCGCCGCAAAATTTCCTCTCACAGTCGTGTAGGCTACGATGGATATCGCCCGCGCACATGTTGTATGCGCCATAATCATACATTCCACACGTGTCATTAGGAGCTTCAGGTAAGCAAAATGTCCAGCATTGCGCCGAAGCTTTGACTGCGTAATTGGGCCAAGTGAATTATTCGCCCATTACAGCTTATTGGTGTCGGAATGAAATTATCCAGTGCTATTATTAGCCGTCGCCGGTGGTGAGGTCTTACCAGAGTATGTTTTTAGGACATGCCTTAAAGGTGACGCACTCATTTAAAGATTCCTGGAAGCCTACCCGTGAGTAACTTGATTGGACACTGCAAACACACCGAACCTTTTGCTATATGCATCCTCCTTGTGCGTTTGGACTTTATGCGTTGTTAGTTAATAGACGGTCCGCGACAGCGCTATCGCGGCTGCAATATCAACTGTGACCAGGCTCCCCGTCCTCGCACAGGTACTTCGAGGTGATCAGCTCTGCGTCATACGGCAACTGTTTTGTCTTCAACGGCAACATATCCAACACCCTGGACCTGAGCGCAGGGAAGCGAAACTCAGTACTGACAGGGGCAAACTACGGTAAGGTCATGGTTTTTACTTTTTTCATTAGCAATGCGCTGGCCTGAAAGGGAGGCACTGCGTGCATAAAAACGCCGAGACATGCTGTTTCTAAAGCACTTAATCCATTACCAGATCATGCTCCATCGTACTTGGTGAATAAGGTTGGCAGGAAAAAGTAGTGTACAGTGGTTAGTTTCGTTTTCGAGCATGCTTAGAGCACCCAAATTGTCATGCCAGTTTCCATTACAAAAGCACAACTGGGTTTGATGCACAATGTTGCGCTAAGCCTAGGGAAAAATAGGCCTCTATCGCTTAGTCACTCATTGTATATTTCAATCGCTCCAGACAGCTGAATTGCCTTGGTGTTAATGTAATAGCTCAGATCAATGCCACTACCGTAATAAATTGGTCGTCATAACAAAGGGGGAAGCATTGGAGCATGATTGGCCATTCATTGCGTTCCGATCGGCATCGTGGTTACGCACCAGATCGATGGCAGGGCAGTCCCTCCCCGATAACACCCTAACGGTCGCTCGACCCATACTTTATAATGATGTGCCAATGTTAAGCCCGTTTTGGTATCGCATTGCTGTCTAAGCCATGATAATAATAAGGTTACCTCAGTTATGACGATAAAAAACTTGCAATTAGCTCACATTAGCATAATTTTTTGTTTTGATCGAGCCAGGTAAGGCTTGACACGAATAAACAAACAACTCACGAACCAACCACCAAAAAGCTCCGCTTGAATGACCACTTAATTGCCCCTCCAATATATGTGACGGGACAACCTTTCCTAACACTGTGAATGAATGGTAGTAGCTTATTGGGTGGTTCTAGCGGGCTGTCGTTAGCCGACTTTGGCTATGACTATTTTAAGCTTTCTCAGGTATGATTTGTCCTTGCCTAATGCATAACACAAGCCTTGCCGGGTCTGCACCACCCGTTCGCTTGCCCCTTTATGTTTGTTTCCTCTTCCTAGCTGACAGTACCGCGACTTGATTTTATGTTTTCTGGTGTTAACGAACGGTTTATTGCGTCGCAGAGATGGAGGGAGGAGCACTCCTGGTTACCTGCTATTGGGTAACGGCATAAAAAACCAAAGCTGCTTCGACATAATACATTAGCGGAGGATGGTCCTGATGCAAGCGCACAGCTTCAACAGATTCAGCTGTTCTGCACCGCAACATCATCAGCACCTGCACCGCAACGTCTGGAGACTGTTCTATACAGTAGCAAGGAGCGAACGCTCACTCCGCCCTGGCTTGGCAGGCTAGAGCTCGCTTTACCTGAAAAAGTCATTGTTTCACACATTTGGGATTAAAGCTGTTGTAATTAGTAAGCCATTAAGTTGCATGGACTGCAAGCTGCTTTGCATGCACGACGCGAGTGACAAAAACACGGGTGGGAGCTGACCTGGAACTCGTTCAAAAGCAGAGCATGCATAATATTCCACCCAGAGCGTTCGATGCCAGCTTCTAGAAGCCATCAAGCTCATGAATTTATCCGCAAGATTGCTATCTCGGAGACATCTGACATGTCGAGGTTGTTGCGTCCCGTCGACCCGCGTAGCTCCGCGACACACTACATAACGGCGCTGCTCATCGCCGAGGCTATATTTACACTCGTCGTACCACATCCTAGTCAAACCCCATACTCGTTATGCCCAACCGCTCTCTGTGCACGCGCACAACTTCAGGACATACGGGCAAGGTTTTTCCACTCTGTGATTCCGGGCTTACGGCAGTTTGCACCAGAGGGAAGACACTCCTCTGCACATGAACATCAACACAGGGGTTTCCTTGCAGCGCATTTTAGTCAAAGCGGTCAGTAGCTGTGTACAGTGATGTGTCCTAGAGAAAAGCAGCCATATTGCTGTAAGTCTAAAGAATCCACACATCGGTAGATATGGCTATGGACATGTTGCACGCATATTTAGGATGTCGCCGCTCATTCATCCCAGATACGTATATTTTGTTCCTTGTGCTTGATCTGTTAACCAGTTCACCGACGGGCCATGCCAGCCCATTTACAGTCGCGCACGCGTGTTATTTTTTAAGTGACGCACGGAGTCGACACTGGACTGGAACAATATAGTTCATCGCATGACAAACTCCAGGCCGGTGGAAAAATCCCTAGGTGTGCCGGTATTCCAACAACAAGCCTCAATCCCCACGTGGCTCATCCATTCTCAGGCTTCCATCCAGCAAGAGTTTTTATGAGTTGAAGTTTTTGCGCGGACAGTTTCGATCTTCAATGCACCGGAAGGTATTAAGCATGCATCGGCAATATTGGGATAACATGTTATGAACAATTACATAAAGGTCGGTAACTGCGAGCACAGCAGTCACGAGGTCACAATGCCAAACAATCAGAGCTCAATGTATTTCTCAGTAATATCAAGTCATGTCATCAAGTCATCAAGGCGTTCCAATTGTGGACCTTCCCACGATTTTCCCGCTACATCGCTTGTGATCAAGATGCTTAAGAACTTACGATCCAGACAGTGTAACGGTCTGTAGATTAGAAACTCCAGCAAACCATACATTCACGTTTTCCCTCATTACCTGCTTCATGCCGTTTGGTTGCACCGCCGCTTCTCATCGCCGCTTCCCATCGCCTCTTCTCACCGCCGCTTCCCACTGCCGCTTCTTACCGCCGCTTCCCACCGCCGCTTCCCACTGCCGCTTCCCACCGCCGCTTCTCACCGCCGCTTCCGACCGCCGTTTCCCATCACCGCTTCCCACCACCGCTTCCCATCGCCGCTTCTCACCGCCGCTCCCCACCGCCGCTTTCCATCGCCGCTTCTCACCACCGCGTCTCACAGCGAGCCTGCTGAGGCCGTCTCCCATGAGGCGGCCTAGCAACAGCCCCACCCGAGCGACAGCACACACTACGGCAAGAGTGCCTATGTCGGGCGAGCATCGGTAACGTAGGCAGTCCAGAACAACCAGCGGTGTCGCCTCGCAGCTTACCTCTCCGCTGAGCCCCATAGCTCTTAACGCAATAATAATGGCGGAACGAGCCTTAACTTCGTCGAAGCGCGCCGTTCTCTCGCTCGTGTTACGAATTGTACCAGCATGCAGCAGTTCTCCGTTGAATAAAGAATGAAACGTGTAATTTCTTAGAGCTGTGCACCCACTCTCAATCCCTTCCTTTGCTCTTGATGGTTTCCGCACCAATAACGTGTCACACACACCTAGCATTTCTGGCTACGGAGCAGCGGTTTTTAGGGAACGCTGCACCTCGACATAGGACCTGCGCGGGCGGTGGGCAGCAGCCGGCGATTACGCTCACCGCCGGCATCGGACCGACATCGCTACAGTAACAGAGCCATGCATAACAACTGCATGCTTTAAACACATAGAAATATACACTGTGAAGTATAAAATTTCCCCAGGAGAATGCCTATTTCGATTTCGTGTCGCTCCACGACGCGAAATCGAAAAAGGTCTCGCACATGTGAGTGTGACAAGCTGATAAAGTTCGAATGCTGGGAAAATTTTACATTTGACCCGGCATTATGTGGTCAATGTGAACCTAGCAACATATGACTTACTACCGATCGTGAGATGCCGTTGATTCCAATGTACTGTTATTGGTTTTGTTTTGTTTTGTTTTGTTTTTTGCTCAACTCTATTTTTCTTAGTTTGGAAACAACAGGGGTCATATGAACCCCACCCTTCCATCCATTATCAGTCTGCGTTATGAAAAGCGGCGAATCAGGCGAGGGATGATCCGGTCCGTCTACTGTTTTCATGACTTAGAAAACGAGTGCACACGACAAAAA